CACTTCATAAGTTGTACTTTATGGGGCTCAAATCCCTGCAGTATCTTCCTTCCTCCTTGGCAAGCCTTTCCTCACTTAAGATTTTACATGTGAGAAATGCTCCTCAACTCCAAATGTTGCCGAACATCCCTGCCTCTCTGAAAAAATTGGAACTTTGTAATCTCGAAAAATTGCAATGCATGCCTTCTTCTTTGTCCATCTCTTCTCTCGAGGTCCTTGATTTATCCTGCATTCCTCTCCTCAAATCATTGCCAGACCTACCTCCCTCTTTTCGTTCGATAAATATTTACCTTGAGAACCTGTGTTGCTGGCCTTCTTGCCTTCCTAGCCTTTCTTATCTCCAAAAAATTAGTATTATTAGTAACGCTCCTCACCTTCAAGAATTACCAGAACTCCCTTCATCCCTTTGTGAACTGAGCTTTATAAATCTTGAATCCCTACAAACTCTCCCTTCCTCATTGACAAGCCTCTATTCACTTGAGATTCTATCCATAATTAATGTTACTCAACTTCGACTACTACCAAAGTTTCCCACCTCTCTAGAACGATTATCACTTGGAAAACTCAAATCATTACAATGTTTGCCGTCTTCTTTGCAGGCCATCTCTTCTCTAAAGTATCTTTATTTAGAAGGCATTCCGCTCCTCAAATCATTGCCTGACTTCCCTCCTCCTTTGTGTTGGCTTCACCTATGTGACCTTGAGAACCTAGATTGCTTGCCTTCTAGCTTGTCCAGCCTTTCTTCTCTCCAAAAAATTAATATTGATAAAGTTCCTTTGCTCCAAGAATTACCAAACCTCCCTTCATCCCTTTGTCAATTAGCATTTACAAAGCTTAAATCTCTGCAGTTATTGCCGAATATCCCCGCCTCTCTAGAAGAATTAAGCCTTTCAGGTCTCGAAGCATTGCAGTGCCTGCCATCTTCTTTGTCCATCTCTTCCCTCAAAAGATTTCACTTGACAGAAATTCCGCTGCTAAAATCATTGCCAAACCTTCCTCCCGATTTGAAATATCTATTCATCGATAATGTTCCTCAGCTCCAACTATTGCCAAATATCCCCGCCTCTTTGGAAGAAATAAACCTTTTTGGTCTCGAAGCATTGCAGTTCCTGCCATCTTCTTTACCCATTTCTTCCCTCAAAAGACTTCACTTAACAAGAATTATGCACCTAAAATCATTGCCAGATCTTTCTCCCAGTTTGGAATATATGTCAGTCAATAATGTTTGTCAGCTCCAATTACTGCAAAACATCCCCGCTTCTTCGAAAGAATTGTACCTTTCAGATCTCGAAGCATTGCAGTGCCTGCCATCTTCTTTGTCCATCTCTTCTCTCAAAAGACTTCACTTGACAAAAATTTCGCTCCTAAAATCATTGCCAAACCTTCCTCCCGATTTGAAATATCTGTTCATCGATAATGTTCCTCAGCTCCAACTATTGCCAAATATCCCCGCCTCTCTGGAAGTATTAAACCTTTCAGGTATCGAAGCATTACAGTTCCTGCCATCTTCTTTGCCCATCTCTTCCCTTAAAAGACTTCACTTAACAGGAATTCTGCTAATAAAATCATTGCCAGATCTCCCTCCCAGTTTGGAATCTCTGTCGGTCAATAATATTCCTCAGCTCCAACTATTGCCAAATATCCCCGCCTCTCTGGAAGAATTAAACCTTTCAGGTCTTGAAGCATTACAGTTACTGCCATCTTCTTTGCCCATCTCTTCGCTCAAAAGACTTCACTTAACAGGAATTCCACTACTAAAATCATTGTCAGATCTCCCTCCGAGTTTGGAATCTCTGTCAGTCGATAATGTTCCTCAGCTTCAACTATTGCAAAACATCCCCGCCTCTCTGGAAGAATTAAAACTTTCAGGTCTTGAAGCATTGCAGTTCCTGCCATCTTCTTTGCCCATCTCTTCCCTCAAAAGACTCCACTTAAATGGAATTCAGCTACTAAAATCATTGCCAGACCTTCCTCCTAGTTTGAAATATCTGTTCATCTATAAGGTTCCTCAGCTCCAATTATTGCCAAACATTCCTGCCTCTATGGAAGAATTGCGCCTTTATGACCTCGAAGCATTGCACTGCCTGCCATCTTCTATGTCCATCTCTTCCCTCAAAGGACTTCATTTAGACAGAATTCCGGAACTTAAATCATTGCCAGACCTCCCTCCCGGTTTGAATTATCTTTCAGTTAAAGACTGTCATCCAGGGTTGATGGAGCGATATCAAAGTTTTGACAGAAGATTGCTCGCATACATGTTGTCAATATAGTTCTAGCACGGAAGACGAATAAATGCTGGTAATTAATTACTACATGATCGTGGAAATTGTATTTATCAATCTCGCATCCATTATTTTATAGTAATTATTCCAACTGAGTGAAGACAAATAATTTTTATAACTATATAATTTTTTAATAATAAATTTGTTATTTATTTTTCAAATGTGTCAAATACCAACAAATAATGAGGAGATCGCTCGAATTACGCTCCCATTGAATTCATTTTATTATTGGTTGATGCTTAAAGTAATAAATAATCTAATTGACTTTAATACTATACTAATGAAGTTCATTTATTTATTTTCATATCAAATTTGGATCAAATTTAAACATTACGAGATTTTAAATCTTATTCAAACTTTTGTTTATGTTTTCTTTTCAAATAAGTTTTCTTTTTAAATTCATGTCAAAAGTGATATTTAATAAAACTCAACTAATTATATATTTGATTCTAATAATATAAATATATAATCCAATTAACAAACATAATTAAAATTTTAAATTTTAATAAAAATGATGGATAATTATAGATTAATTTTCCAGTTTTTTATAATGTTTAAATTTTTATATAATTAAACTATGAAACGATGATATTATGGCTAAATTTCTATTTTTTTTATTATTGTTGATTTGCGCTTCTCCCCAATGCCGGAATCGGCATCCAACTAGAGATAAGCAATTCATATGAAGAGACGAAGATTCTTCAAGTGGGCTTCTCTCTTTTTCTCTCGAATGATTTTCATTTTCGCTAAAAAAAATTGGTTTCTTTTACGTAAAAAATGTGCTGCAACGACGGGTTTGGAATACATCAAGACTTTATTTTATTTTATATTGTGTCCAATTAAATACCAAAAGTAAAAAAAAAATGTATTTGAGTTACGTTGCATTCACTTTTACTCCAATCAAACAACCTCTAAATAAGCAATACTGCAACCGTCCTTTCATAGCTATCACCCTCAATTTCACAAATTTTTTTTGGTGACGAGGAAGCACTGTCTTTAGGCCAGTGAGAATCCCGATCGACCTAGCATGCAACCCACACCAATTTACACGGGCCAACACTTAAGACTGTCACTGCTTGGCAAGGGATTCGAACCAGAAACCTAGACTTTGCCCAGCCGGCTCTTCACCACCTGGACAAGCAACAGTGGGTCAATTTCACAAGTGAAGAAGTGAATTTCATAATGGAGAAATTGATGTCTACCACTTTGAATTTAAATTCTAACAAATTAACCTAAGAGATCAATTTAATGCAGAACAAAGTCGTGATATAGAAAAATTACCTATTACTAGCGAAATTTGGTCATTTTATCGGAAGATTCTTACGTTTTCGACAGAAATTTTTCCATAGCTAATAGCCATGTAGGAAACAAAATTTGACAGTAGTTTTTCCACCTGAAAAATTTTCTACGGATTTATGTAAAGGTGTGACAAACAAAGGACCGTCGGAAATTCCATCAGTATCAAGTGATTTTCCTGTAATGTTAAGAAAATGTTTTGTAACCTAAACTTAATGTCGCACTATAAATAAGATCCAAAGACACATATAAAATTGGTAAATATTAATTTATAGAGATGTGAGTAGAGTTACCTAAAATATCTTCTTCTTTTTTTCTGTCATATGATATCTTCTACTAACAAATTTGATTGATTAATTTAGAAGAGTAGCATGTTGATCTACAATAATAAGTGGTAGACTTACATGAAATCCCATATTTTTAAATTTGACCATTAGAAAAATTTATCATAACTCCTCAATTAGAATATTTGTATTATTTAAAAAATAAAATCTCTATGTAGCCTATGTATATACATGACAATATTTTGTACTGAAAAGTCAAATATTTGAGCATAAGAACTTTTTGTTTAATTAATTTTTCTATAGTCATTATAATTCTCTAAATTTTGATCTATGTGGCCTATTAATTTCTTGCTTTGAGATTTTTTTATGGGAAAAATGTTTTATTTCACTAAAATAAATATTTGAACTTTTTTTAAAAACAAATGGAAGGGCATAGAGATGTCAATGTAGCTTGAAATCTTATGCTTCTTTTTATCATTATTATAGTTTTCAAAATATTCTATTTATAGTTAAAAAATATTTTTAAATTTTCATAATTTATTTTCACTCATTTAAGGTTTTGACTAACATTATGAAAAATTAACAACCTAACTAAATTTCATATATCTAACATGGATCTTCAAAACAAGCTATAGATTTATACATGAAAAAATCAAATTTAATGAAATTTTTTTTATCTATGATAAAAAAAAATTAAGAATCTACTAAAGAAATTATAGAATAATGAAGTAAAATCTAGATCTAATTAAAAAATTAAATTTTAGATAGGAACGTTTATTTAATCTTACTTAAAGTGGTGATTAATCAATTTATATAAAAAAATTGAAACCCTAAATTTTAGCAGAAGTTGTTGGATGAAATATCTAATTAATTAAAACATCAAACTATAATAGAGGAGACTTACATTAATAGCTTTTTGAAATGCTACAACTTGTAAAGATTATTAAAAACAGAAAAAAAAATTATAATCAAAGTTGTTCCAAATAAAACCTAAATTAATATTTCTAACAATCGAATAAATCAATTTTTTTTGTATATTTTTTAATTCTTTCAATGATTTTAGAAATCAGTTAAGTCTGCCAATTAAATGCATTGTATATTTAGTGATATATTCCTCTTATTTCATGCAGAGTAGTTATGTATGTGATTCGCACCAACACAAAAGCCATAAAATAAGTATTACCTTCAAAATATAAATAAACCAAAAGCTAAAAATGTTACAAAAGGAAATAAAATAAAATTTGTTATGTATTGAACCATTAGAATTTAATTAATAATGCACGTAATTAACTATAATTCATTATGATTCAATTATATAATTAAGAGCAAATGCTTGTGAATCATTTTTAAGATAATTAAGATGGCTAAAACAAGATCAACAAGACATTTTAATTAGGACAACTTTTAGCTACTACTTTTTCACCGCTTTTAAGAAATTTTTTGAAACAAACATTATTATAAAAAATAGGAAGAAAATTATCACAAACCAAACCTAAAATGATCCAAATAATAATATCAACAGACAAAAAATGGCTAAAACAATATCAACTTAAAACTGCATTAAAACTATTGCAAACTGCAAATACTTAAAATAGTCCAATATGAGTTAACAAACCAATATAATTTAACAGCTCAACATTTGTTTTTACCTTTTCCACTTCAAAGAATATACAAAAGCCACTTTGACCACCAGCTTATTTCTGCTCAATCATTCAGAGACTTGGTACAAATGCAAACCAGAAAATCAATAAAAGTTTACAACATAAAACTGATTCATTTCTTACAAGGTTGCAAACGGCTATATCAGAAAAGGTTTATTTCTCGTTTGTTCTTCAAACATTCGAGAAATGGATATACTGAGAGATTTCAACGAGTGCTGCCCTCATCTTTGTTGCTCGTCTGTGGGGTATATTGGCTTGTTGATGAGGGGGAATAGCCTGGTGCAGTAGGTGAATAGCCAGCACTTGGACTACAAATAGATTGTTTAAAAGCATTTGTATTAGGGACGGCAATGCAAATACAAATTATTCAGATGAAAGATGATAAGAGTAGAAATTATACCTGAATTGTGGGGAACTTGGACTGTAGTCCGGACTCATGCTAGAATTATATGGGCTACAAGTTCAAATCCAAAAGATAAATTTAGTATTTTTCTCTCTTTATTCTAATTGGTGATGATTAAAACAGATGCAAACAATTCATTTTAGATAAAATTGTAGAAATGTCAGATAAAAAAGTGAATATGGACTAAAAACTAGAAAAAAAAAGGTTTGATTTTATGTTTGAACATACAAAATCCAAAATGTGAAAAGTTGTCAGAAAAAAATGTGAATATGGACTAAAAACTAGAAAAAAAAAAGTTTGATTTTATGTTTAAACATACAAAATCAGAATTACCAGCTTGTGCATGTAAAAAATCCTTAGCAACTTGTCATATTTGGATCAAAATTTCTTTGAAAAAAAAAATCATATGTTGCCCCAACTCACAGCACAAAAATCTTGATGTCTTCGCACTTAAAGTTTTACAACCAATGAGATGGCACTACTCTTCTATAAATTAGATCAAGATTTCTTCTTTGAAATCGTTTTTTGAACGGTGACATTGATGAAAACAATCATATTTCACTCCATTCACTAACTCTAGTTATCAATGATTTCACCTTTAAAATCTCAATATATATATATATATACTAATGATCGAAAAAGAGAATTTTCCCTGCATGCTTGCAATGTTATCGTAAAACTAGCAGGAGATCGCATTAAGTAGCAAAACTAATGACTTGACACATATAACTCAAAATAGCTTAAGTAAAAAAGAGAATGACAGACAGCTATAATACAACCCTAACTAAGAATAAGACAAAGTAGTTCACCAGAATAGTTTTGGAGGTTTTGGTAAGATCAGATGAGCAGATCATATAAACCAAGCATCAACTCAAATAAACTATCAATTGTATAAAAGCATGCACACAATTTTCCATCTAATTAAAAATATAAACACAGCCAAAACACTAACTGTAACAGAGGACAAAGAATCATATGGAGGCAAAACTCAAAAAGTAACAGCAAAATTTACCTGGTAGGACTATATGTAGGACTTGGGGGTGTATATGTAGGAGATGTTGGAGAATATGATGGTGAAGTTGGGCTGCAAAAAAAATAATACTAAAAATTAAATACAAAATAAAATGATTCAATAATTTACCAAAATTACCACAGCAAACTGCATCTTTTACCTGTATTTTGGAGATGAATGGCTGTATGGGCTGGAAGGAGATAATCTCGGAGATGTTGGAGAATATGCAAGAGAAGGACTATATTTCGCTGAAGGATTATAACTTGGAGAGGTAGGACTATAACTGGGGGATGTGGGGCTATAACTAGGAGAAGTTGGGCTGTAACCAGGAGAGGTTGGGCTGTAAGCAGGTGAGGTTGGGCTGTATGAGGGAGAAGTTGGACTATAGGAGGGTGATGTTGGACTGTAAGAAGGTGAAGTTGGACTATAAGATGGCGATGTTGGGCTGTAAGCGGGAGAAGTTGGGCTATAGACTGGTGAGGTTGGGCTGTAAGCAGGAGATGTGGGGCTGTAGCTAGGTGAGGTGGGACTGTAACTGGGAGAAGTGGGACTGTAAGTCGGAGAAGTCGGGCTGTAAGTGGGTGATGTCGGACTATAGCTCGGCGATGTGGGGCTATAACTTGGTGAAGTAGGAGAGTAGGATGGACTGGTAGGAGAATAAGAAGGACTAGTAGGACTATACCCTGGAGAACTAGGGCTGTATGTTGGAGAAGTGGGACTATAACCAGGTGAGGTTGGACTATAACCAGGAGAAGTAGGACTATAGCCAGGAGAAGTTGGGCTATATCCAGGTGATGATGGACTGTAGACAGGAGAGGATGGACTATAGCCTGGCGTAGAACTAGGAGAAAAGGCCATTCCACCAACGTAAGGAGAAAATTGAGCATCAGTGATAGGCGATGAGCGTATATTTGGACTGAGCAAATAACTTGGTGACATCATTCCTTCATGATAAGGGGTCCCGGAGATCGGCGAACGAGCGGGGGTCATTCCAAATTCCAAGCCCTCCATGTAACTGGGAAGCTGAAGTTCAATGGCTTGTTGAAGCATTTTATCATTTAAATATAGTGCACAACCTCCAGTGCCAATTGGTGCAAGCTGGCCAAGCATTATGTTCTCAGTGACACCTCTTAGATGGTCAGCTTCAGCAAAGACAGCAGCATCAAGGAGAATATCTACAGTTTCCTCAAAAGAGCACCTCATCATTGGTCCTGTATCATTACGATTTATACCGTGCCGAGTAATAGCCATCAAGTGGCCCCGATAAGTCATCGTGTCACAAAGGATAGCCAAATGCCGATAGTTAACATATGATCCATCAAAGGATATGACCACACGCAGCTCATCCAGAAGAGCACGACGGACGGCCTCTATCCCCAGAACTTCAATAACTTCAATCAAATGATTACTTGTTGTCCTAGATGCATCAACATTTTCATGACACATGACAGCCAACAGATTAACACCTTCTGTGTCGAGCATCCACTCCACGTCAGGTTTGAAACCTTCATCCTCATCAAACTTGTTTATCTTTCCAGACTTAATAAAAACTTTGTTAATGTCAGGAATTCCTCGAAGAGCCATCTCAGTCAACATATTGCTCTCAATCTTCTTAAGAAAGACATCATCCTCAGCAGTATCATCTTGCAATTCTCCTTTTGGAGCCTCATCATTCATGATACGTATCCGAAGAATAAGTTTCACAGCATTATCATCATTGAAAATACATGTTAAATCATCATCAAATTCACGGTTGATCTTCTCTGCGATGGCTGCCATGCTCAACTTCTTGTCAACCATCATCTCTCGGTTAAGTTCAATACGAAGCAACCAAGGAGAAATCTTCTCAGGCACAACCTCTTCATCAGGCATTTCATAATATGACTTCACAAATTCAAAATCCTCTTCAATGATTGTGCTCGTAGGATCAGGATCATACCACACTTCTGTTGCATGTGTCACACTACGTAAAGTAGTATACTCCAAGGCGCACTGTACATTCTTTGCTAATTCCTTTTTCTTGTTTACCTCAGGTTTCAAATAGACGGAAAGTGATGGAGTCTTGATTTTCTTAGCAACATTTATGATCTCTCTCAACCTGGGCACACCCAGAGTAACATTCTTGGCACTAACACCAGCATAGTGGAAAGTATTCAACGTCATCTGGGTAGCTGGTTCTCCAATTGATTGAGCAGCCACACACCCGATCATTTCACCAGGGGCAACCAGAGACTGAAGAAAACGTGATTCTATTTCACCAATGACCCATTCAAAAGCTTCACGTGTAAGCCTGTACTCTTTCAATACCCGTTTGCTTGCAAAGGTGCTCCGTAGCAAGATATTGAATAATAAAGTGGCATTTTTCTGTGCCTCCATGCTCAGAAAATCATCACCAGGCACAACTTTAAGCCTTTCTTGCAGCTTATCAACAGCCTCCACAATCTCCATCGGATGCATGTCAGATGGCCTTCGCAGATCAACTTTAAATGTCTTTTGTGCATTCCAAATGAGCCTTTTTAAATTCACTGGCATTGGCCATGAGTTATCTCCACCGGTAGTAATCTCCGTGCCCAGCTGATACCGATCTACCACTAGTTTTTGGACCTCAGCATCAAAAACATTTTTGAACTCCCGAATGGTTTTCAGATCCTCAACATGTTCAGGCAACATATAACTAGGGTTCCAGTTGTTATCATCAATCTCATACCTATAGACTTTGTCAAACTCAACTTTTTTCATCTTCACGGAATCCAACTTTTGTGATTCAATCCAAACAGCATCCATGCCATCTTCTCCGTAAAGGAACTGGATAACATCACCCAATGAATTTCTAACAGTGCCATCATATTTGACCATTATATCCTCCATAGCCTTCACAAGACGACGTTGAATATAACCAGTCTCAGAAGTCTTCACTGCTGTGTCAATTAGACCTTCCCTACCACCCATAGCATGAAAAAAGAACTCCTGTGGGGTTAAACCACGGAGGTACGAGTTCTCCACAAAACCACGACTTTCAGGACCATAATCATCTTTGGTGAAGTGAGGTAATGTTCGACCGAGGAATCCATATGGAATACGTTTTCCCTCCACATTCTGCTGCCCCACGCAGGCAGTCATCTGTGAAATATTAATGAAACTACCCTTTGATCCTGCGGTAACCATCGCCTTCAGATTATTACTCTCTGAAAGACTTTTTTGAGCACTGCTTCCAGCATCATCTCGAGCCTTGTTCAACACCTGAGAAGGAAAAGAGCTGATTAAAAGCACGTCAACTACAAACTTAATTTACTAGCAAGGCAAAGGCAAAATGGGATACTTGATTCACTCTATTCTCAAAAGACTCCATCATGGTTCGTCCTGGCTCAGGTTCCAATTGTTTCTCCTGGGCCTGCTTGATAAGCTCTTTGACATCATTTTTGGCTTTTGAAATTGTTTCATTAATTTTCTCCATTGTTGCAACATCAGCAATTGTATCTCCAATTCCAATGCTAAATCCATTCTGTAAAAGCCAATAATTAACGAGCCACTGAGTGTGTCCCAAAAACTTTCGGGCTGCATCCGGGCCAACCTCCTCCCTGAGCATATATAAGCACACTATTAAACAGTACTACACATTCAGAAAAAACCAAGTCAGCTACTAGATGCATGACATACCAGATAACATGAATCAGACTACCAGTAGATGTCCCCATGGTCTTTTTGCAGAGAGTTCCAGACAGAAGCTCTCCTCTTTCAATGCGAACTTGCGTATCTCCTGGAGTGATAAATCCTGTTTCTGACTCAGCATGCCATGCTGAAAACCTTATCAAGTTAATCTGCTTTGGTATGATCAGATTAAATACTTGTTTTCCCGTCCAAAGAGGCCTAGGTTTCAAAATAGCTGGAGCAGGAATTTTCCCATCGAAGTCCTCCCACCACATCAAAATATTCATGAACACATCCTGCCAGCCCAAATTTGCATGCATCCAGCAGTTCAGTAAATAGTAAATAAGAAGGAATAAAAAGGATGGGGAAAAGTTGGTTCCAGATAATGAAAGAATTAGCAAAACAAAACCTTTTCTATGAATGTGTCTCTTTTGGTGATCTTCCGACATCCTAATAGTGTATCCTGAACAATACCCATAACAGGCCGATTTGATTGAGGAGAAACAATGCATTTTGGTACCATCATAAGTTCCAAGACCTCTGCTCTAGTTTCAAATGACTGGGGAACATGCATGTTCATCTCATCTCCGTCAAAATCAGCATTGTATGGAGAGGTCACAGATAAATTTAGGCGAAAAGTTGAGTAAGGCATGATTTTTATACGGTGACCCATGATTGACATTTTGTGAAGACTAGGCTGACGATTAAAAAGCACAAAATCCCCATCTTGCAAATGCCGTTCCACCTGGTAGAAGTTTAAAAATATGTGAACATCTGTAAAATCGCAAAGGATGATAATATAACACATCCTACCTTGTATCCAAGCTCAAGGTGGTGGTCACTACTTTTTTTCAAATATCGAAGGTCAAGTCTCTGTCCATCTTCCCTAATTATGTACTTCGCACCTGTCTTCCCAGGAGGAGGATGAGGTCCATACTCCACCAATTCCTTGAGCCTGGTAAGAATTTAACCATTAAAACACAAACATACAAAAGTACATTAGATACGGAATATCTTCTCAATAAGAATTTAGGGACCTCTCAATGTTATATGGAGTCACAGTTTCTGGGTAAGTTAAATTCAAAGCTATGCTCCATGGTACTCCCAACTCATCAATGTTAATTGTTGGATCTGGAGTTATGACCGTCCGAGCTGAAAAATCAACTCGCTTTCCCATCAAATTACCTCTGATCCTACCCTCTTTTGCCTTCAGCCTGCTACAAATTGATTTAATAGGCCGCCCAGATCGCTGGGTAGCCTGTGATTGGAAGAAAATAAATAATAAGATAGACATTAACAGAAAATATGTAGAATATGAAGAATTTGCATACCCTTGGCTGACCAGGAAGTTCATTATCGAAGTACGTTGCAATATGAAATTGCAGTAACTGAGCAAATTCTGTTATTATATGAGCAGGAGCTCCATTCCTTTCTTGCCGCCTTAAGTTTTCATTATGTCTAATTATCATTGCAAGTTGATGAGTCAAATCATCCTGTCCATATCAAGAAGTACCATAATACATTAGGAGTTATTACCAGTAAAACTATTAAAAAATTGTTAAGCTTAAGGAACAGCAGGAAGATACCCAAGCCTCTTACAAAACAAGAATAAGAACTTTATACAAGACTAACCAAGAGTGACAATGGAGCTCTCAAAAGCCAAAACATTATATGTTATGGTACCAAAGAACTATAAAAAGTACTGCCAAGCAATTAAAATGTATAAAATATATTTGGCTATGTGCTTCAAATCTCTAATTAATTACCGCTTTTTCTTGAAAGTTTGAAAAGACTTGCCAATTAACAAATCATTATATGAACTGAGAGGATACAACAAAAGAGTCATACTGATATGAACCCACCTCACTTCTGGAAGAGGTGTCCATCATCACAGATGGCCTCACGGGAGGAGGAGGAATTGGTAGGACTTGTAATATCATCCAATCAGGTCGAGCATACTTTGGATTCAAACCAAGCAATTGACAATCCTCATCACTTATCCTCTTCAGAACACTGAGCACCTGGTGTCATTCAGGTAGGAGCCAGTAAGTTTGGAATTATGTGAAAAGAATGGAGAAAGGAGGTTAAAAAAATGAATATGCTCCCAACACATTCAAACAATCACTACCCTCTCCGCAGAAAGAATTTGTTTTCTTTCAACAGGCTCAGGAAGCTGCTCTTGGTCCTCTGATTTCTTCTTTGGAGCTTTATATTCAGCAACCATTTTCATGCCATCAACAGTAATGTTAGGCTGCTGAGCACCACATCCACCTCGGCTCTTCTTAATAGGTTCTTCAGAATCTTGTTGGCCTTGAAGATCAATATCATCACCGCCTGCACATTTCTTCTTGCTTTTACAGGCATCATAAATTCTTTTTAGCCTGTTCTTTGGATTTCTGATTTTTAAAGCTTGTTTAAATCGTGTATCTTCCTGAGAAAATGCAATGCTTGTTAATAGGGAGATGGCCAAGCATGAAAATAAGTAAAGCTAAAGAAAATAAAAATAAAGCCATGAAAAGCATAGCAAACACTAATAACAAATGAAAATCATGGATGTATCCAAAAGAAAATCTAAATGATCGTTAAAAGACATGAAGTCATGGATGTTAAATGATAAAGGTCAGAATTAGCAGGATCTACTTCAGAGGAACCTGTTGAAGATCACACTCCTCCCCCTCCATCCTACATCCGCCCAACCCAAATTTCTACCCTAGATAGAACAGTCTTGGGTTCCACTTTGTAGCCAATCAAAATAAGATCTATTGAGCACACAGATTGAAAATGTTAGAAATTGAACCTTTCCTTAACTTGCCATTGAATGGCCCACTAAAACTGCTACTTTCAATCATCCTTTAAACATTAAGGCTAGTTAAATATCTCTATTTTCTTCAGTTGTTCTGTGCCTTCGCCAGCATATGTAGAATAATATGAACTATTTCTCAGGTTCATAAATGCACAGGTCAATTTAGGTTATCCAAAGTTCTCATTGGCAGACAATAAAGCTCATAACCATTTTAAAAATGCAAAGTCAAGTGCATCAAGCACATGTTGAGTCAAAATACAGGTATCAAGTTAAAGCTAGCATCAAACAAAAGAAGCCCCTTTGTTTCATGTTTGTCAACTTCTCTTCAAGAGCAGTGTAATGAATTTTAGAGTCACCTATCTCTAGCTTTTTTTTTTTTTTTAATTTATGGACCAATTCACCATCAACAGAAAGTGCAACTCCAACATTAACAGATAGATGACAAAAATAAATCTGAAGAAATATCAAACCTCATCAGCAAGGATCTTGGAGCAATTGAAGCAAACACATCTCATAATAGCAAGCACAGTCTTCATAAAGCCGATATGGTACATTGGCTTGGCGAGCTCAAGGTGACCAAAGTGGCCGGAGCACTCAGCCATGTTAGCCATGCAAGTTTCGCATTTCATCTTCCGGTCAATGGTCCCCAGCCGCGGGTCGCTAAGCCCACCCGGCTTCGGCTTGCCCCTCTCCATAGTCTCCCCGTGCTCGATCTGTGCCACTGACATTTGTCGCTGCAATCACAACCACACAAACTTATCATATTTCAAACCCCCAAATCAAACTCTTAAAAACATAGAGAAAACGAGAAGGTTTGAGATATTACAATTTCATCAGGGCTGAGGATGCCGAACTGAACGCATCGCACCTTGGCAACCTCTGCTGGGGAGTAAGGGAAACGTATGTCCATGTCTACTGATGCAAGTTGACCTGCAGGTAGGAGAAGTTCTGCAAATTAGGGTTTTGGAAAAGGAACGTAAATTGGAGTTCAGGAGCTTGATCAAATCAAAACTTAGCCGGTGATCGACAGATTCTCAACTTAAAAATCCAGCTTTGTTCGGACTGCTAAGGTGCAGTGAGAAAACAAGATAACTGAGGAGGAATGGCTGCAGATCCCCTGAGAGAACAGACGAGAGGGTTCCGCAAGAAAAAAAGAAGACTCTTTGTGGTTTGAGGGGTTATTTATAGACGACGAAGATGAGACTACGCCCGTTGACAGCTGTGAAAAATCTGCACCGTTCATCTCTAAACCGGTGATTACGAAGCAAAGACATTTCATCCGTGTGATTTGCGTTGCTAAAGAGGTTGGACGGTTTCAGTCTCATTCCGGCGGAGATAAATATTAGAATTTGCCTTTAGATTTTTTTTATTATTATTATTATTTTTTTTTTTTTTTGACATTTAGGTCATTTAAGGTAAACTCATACACACAATGCATACACAAAGACTCGAACCTAAGACCTCTTAGTTGGAAGCATAAGCTTTCAACAAACAAACTAAGGTGAGCTCCGTAGAATTTGCCTTTAGATGTAAATGATAATAGAGAAAAAGCATTCATGTAATTAACCTCACATAATATGATAAAGGCTTAATGTTGTTGTCAAGGGCAGAATCATGTGCATTTCATAATTTAATTTTACTTTATAGGAGGGTAGTTTCAAAATTTTTGCCAACCCACCCCCCCCGCCTAAAAACTAATTTTTTTCTAATATGTTCGTTCTTCTCTTCACGCCGCATTTCCCTCAATATTATTCATTAGTTTCCCACGATGTTGCCACCTGTTCGGCTAGTCCATCCACCACCAACATCCTCTCCTCCATCCTCTTGTCCGGCTACTACTTCTTCGAGTTTCACACTCTCTCCATCAATTGTTCTAAGAACTAAATCTTCATCCTCTTTTCCATCATTGCTTTTCACTATCCCATGCTCCGGTTGTGAAACCTCCAACAATTTATCCCTCTTCAGCTTCAATAATCAAGCATTCTTCCTCTTCTCCATCTCCCGCTTTGATGAATAAGACTCCATCCTCCTCTCCTCCCCTACTCCAACTACTAAGACTCCATCCCTTTTTGTAATAATATGAATTTCAATGTTGTGTCTAGTTGAAAAAGAAAAAGGGAAGAGAGAGAAGATTTTTCGGGGTGTTACAAATTGATATCGAAACAGTTGTTGGAAGAATTTTTTGAATTATTACCAGAGCTATAAGGAAATTGTTTTTGAGTTGGGTGCGGTAGATTGGGTAGATTAAGTTGCATTGGTTTGCATTCATAATTGATTGCGTAAGTGAATGATATGTGATTGAATGAATTGTATGAGTGTATGATGGGAATTGATACAATTTGTCAAATTTTGATTCGTGATTTGTTTCGATTCAATTTGAGTTTTAATTTTACAGATTTTGTATATTAATTTTATGCCCAAATCCTTTAGGTAAATGTTAGGGACGACATTTTTTTAAGGTGAGTAGATTGTAATAATCTAAATTTCAGTGTTGTATCTTGCTACAGAAGAAAGAGGAAAGAGATAATATTTTTGGGGCATTACATATTCTCCTTACCCTACCTCGTCTTCCTCTTCTTCTCTTACCATTTCCCTTCTTCGTCCACTCTTCCATCCCAAGCAAAAATCAACCATCGAGTTCTTCAATTCACCTACAATCCCAACACCAAGACCGGGAGCATCAGAGTTTTCACCTCCACCTTCTTCAACTCCAGGCAGTAGCGGCGATGGGTTTCCCGTGACACCTAGTACCTCCTCCAAGTCCACCTCAATGAAAATACCCTCCTCCTCATCCCAAACTCCATAAGTTTCAAGACTTTCTTATACGATATTTTCTTTGTTCTTTGATGATGTTGTTCTGTTTTATTTTTTTCCCCTTCTTTTTGTGAATTGGTGATCATATGTTGATCTTTGAGTGCAAATTGTTCTTCCCCTTTTTATTAATAAAAATACAAAATTGAACTTATTGACTTTTTCTTATAATTACATTAAGTTCTTTCATTTATAATTACCTTAATTTAATCAACATCGGTAGCTAAAATTTTTAAACTTTTGAGATCAAATAACAACAGAGGCATTGTTCCACTTCAAAAGCAAATGATGATAAATTCAAAATTTATCAATTTTTCTCTCCCTATTCACTTTCTTAGTGAAGGCTTGAATTCATTTAATTAATACATTTACAATATATATGATTATAAAAGGATCCACAATGCTTTGGTTGGAAAATGTTAATTTTCCAATATCATAAATATTAGTCTTAATTTTGTGAGTTATTGATTATTATTCTCCAAATGAATAAATACGAATGTATCACTCATTCCCTCCTACTAATAGAGCAATTAATTTTACACTCAGTATCAACCAAATCCTAATATTTCTAATTGATCATAGCTTTGCATCTCGCAACAATAAATGCCTAACGTTCGCCAACTAAGAAGCCTAATGTATGCTTTGTTGGTTATAGAATGATAATGCTGATTACCCATCGTTGTTCAACTTTTGAACTTTCTCAATTATCATTACTTGATGATTCCAACAACTAAATTATGATATCAAATAACTCAATGCATTTATTGCTCGCTTTCTTGATTTCTCGATCTCTTTTCGTAAAAAGAAAATGACCAAGTTTATCGCCCATCATTATCCATTTTTTTAAGTTACCCATCAACCAATGCACAAAGCATGCAAAATGATCGAAGTTTGGCGTTCACCAGCTAGTAATGTTCAACCTTACTAATTACTAAGTTAATTGATTGTCGACCATTGCTCGATTATGGACATTCCCTATCAATCATTTTGCATATTATTTCTTATAGAACACAAAATATTATCTTACTTCCTTTGTTAAATCAGAAAACTTATATGATTAAATGAATAGCAAGCTAACCAACCTTTAACAACAACCCAACTATCTCCATCATTTTAATTCGCATATATATATTTCTTTCTCTTTCAATCATCTTTGTATTCTTTCCTCAACAAAGGTTTCTTACATTATTTTCTCGTTTCCCAAACACTCAAATAAACTTTTATGTCTAGAATTTGATAGAGCATGGATGACATTTTCTTCCCCATCTCCTTCTTTTCTCCTATCATATGGGCATAATTAAACTTTTATCTCTTAAGTTGGCAAGGGCAGACATACTGGGTTGGTCTGGTCAAGAGTACTATAATTTTAATTTTTTGCATAATAATCATTCATGCTTTTTATAATCTTATTTAACTTCAACAACAAAAAATTTCTAATTTTCATACTTTTATTTCCTTGAATGATAGAATTCTATTTACATATTTATTACAAGATTTTTACATCATTATGCATCAAATTCAAAACTCAAGTCTATCAACTCAATTTATTCATTTTAAATAAGAAAAAAATATTAAAACATAATCGGAAATTAGTAGCCCTTCGAATGATTTCAAAGAAATACCAAAAACAAAAGATCGGTTTTGTCAGACCCATTCAGCTGAAAGGCCACAAAAAAGGCCTACAAATTTTTTCAGTTTCGGCTTCTAAGAAAATTATTAATTAGTCTAAAAAATAATTAAGACTCCTAATTAACCTAAATTCATTATGTAGAAAATAATTTATTAAAAAAATTAATTAAAAATTTCAATTAAAAAAGAATTTTGTATTAATAACCTTAATCTCATAATATTAATTCCATCATCATAATAGCACCTTGTATTGATTTGCTTTAAAACACTTGGCGATGTCAAGAGATCTTAGCCTCAAGGATTGTTTTCAAATTTTTTTTTAAAAAAAAATTTAATAAATGAATATAATTTTTTATGATAAATTAATTTTAAATGAATGCTCTAATAAATATGACAAAAAATATTTCAATTAAATATTATTTAATCAAGAAAATAAATGATCTAACTAACATTATAGAATAATTTATCCATTGTAATTTAAAAAGCTGTACAACAGCACAACAACTCTAAAAACAAACGTTCAGCAGCTTCGTCCTGGTTTAGCCCTCCACATTGAGTTTTGATGCCCAAAGCTGCTTCCTTTTAGGAGCTTTCAACAGCTGCAGCTTCCTACTCAACTTTTGACGCTGTTGATTTTGCACAGCTTGTTTTGCCTGAGCTCTTATTTCTTCAGGATCTATTTTTGATTGTGGACGCACAACAAAAACCAAGGGTGATGCTTCTGGCAAAGAAGCATGTTGTCTTGAAGCAGCCTGGAGGGATTTTTTTCTCTGAGAAAATTCATCAAGATCTTCATCTCTAGATTCCTGTTCGGGTATGTTTACAGGCTTTGGAGCTGGCCTCCTGTAAGGAATTCTCTCATCCTCGTAACTCCGCAGGTCCTCAAATCTAGTGCTCTTATTAAATATTGGTCGGCTCCATCTATCCACCAACTCTTTTGCAAGCTTCCTATTAGATGTCGCCTCTTCATCAGATCTCGACAAAAACATAATAACCTTCCCAAGGCCGCTTTGCTTTAGCTGTTCTCTTCGATCGTACTGCTCTAAATCAATAGGAAACTCAGATAGTAATTTCAGTATGGCGGTTCGAATATTCATATTAGGTAAGCTTCCATCTGGCAAAGGTTCTAACCAGTTCTTTAGAAGCGTAAGTACTCCATGATCTAAAAATTCAAGCTGAAATTTCTTTTTAGAAAGAACATCTATAAGAAACGGTAGCTTCTGGAGTTTATTAATGGCTGGCTTATTTTGCCTATTCAATTCCGCATCTTCTTCAGCAGTAACTTCAAGTTCAGCCATAAAATCTTCGATGACCATGGCAAGCTCAGCAGGTGATTTTTCATTTTTCTTCTTTTTACCGCCTTTAAAGAGCTTATTCTTCATCTCATTATCCTCCTCTGCTTGTGGAGCATACCCAATAAATCCAGATTCATTGTCATTACCAAAGTGATCAACTTGATCAACCCCAATATCAATTGCGAAAGCATCATGATCGTATGCTGTTCTAGCACCTTCTCGATCACCCTCTAAATCATCACCAGTAATAGCATCCCATAACTCCTGCACCTCAGGATCACTTGCATGGTTAGACGAACCAACTCCATAACCACCCTTTGAACCCGAGGGGGATGCTTTTCTAGTAGATCTGCCTGACTTTGGTAACACTTTCCTCTTCTCCTTGCTGCTCGAGTCCTTTCCCAATGACATTTTTTTCCTCACCGGCTCTTCCTCATCCCAATCATCTAAATCCTCCCCATGAAATGCCTTCCCATTCGTGCTCCCGCTATGCTCTGGCGAGCTCTGCTTTACGACCTTCTTGATTAACCTCTTCCTTCGCTTTCTAAACTTGCCTTCGTCATATGTTGGTGTAGGCGACCGTTCACTTCGCCATTCGTCGCTGCTTTTATCGTCAAATTTATGTCTGGTGTAAGGCAAAGGTTCCCTATCAAGCATCAAGTCACCTGGATCCATAAGAGCCACTCCATCCTCATCAATGTATGGATCGTTCTCGTAGTCCATGGCACCGAACAGAGCAGATAATATAGGAAAACGATTAGCGGAGAAAAATCACGATAATTGAAAGTCCACCCAAATTTGTTGTTTGCTAGCAGGATTGGAGCAAGATTTAACCCGCAATATTGTTCGACCCTGCCAAATGGTAAGAAAAAAAAACTGCTTTAAATCCTACAGTTTCCTGAATTAAATATCCAAATTTGTTCCAACTGCTAAGATGTAGTGAGAAATCGGGAAAACACAAATCAAAGGTCCTATAAAATCAATGGAATAAAATATCAAATAAAAAAAAAATCAATGGAATAAAAAATGAAGGTTTAATACGGATTGATAGGACAATTGAATGATACCTGCGGAAACTAAAAGCTCTTTTCCCAAACGAAGTTGTCTTGGCCAATTACAACCGCCGCCGAATCCGCTGGCCCTCAATGTCGCAAATCAAGTGGTCGTCGACGTAGGTCTGCTACGAAATTCTTCTTCCCTCTTCCTCTTGACCTTCTCAAAGGCTCTCACTTCTCTGTTCTCCCTCGCCTCGCCTATCATAGCCTTATATTAGAGCCTAGACTCTAATATAATGCCTAAACGTTGCAGCCTGACGGCCAAGATAGGATTTCGGAAGGGTAAATAGACTCTTAACCACTTATTACTCAACAAAAAGGCTTCATTCCAGCCTTCAATAAAGGGGTATATGACCTGGACTTTGTTAGAAATTAAGATAAATGTTTTTTTTTTTTTTTTTTTTTTTAATTTTTTTTTTTTTTTTTTTTTTGCATCCGTAGCTCGCCCTAAAAAACAGGAAAAAATATTTCTTGGTTGCTCTCTTATGGATGAACGGCAGCCACCTCATCAATATTTATATAAATAAGAAAATTTATTTTTGGCTGTCACCGGACAGTCCGGCGGTGAATCAGGATACACCACATCACCCAGTACACAACACCGGTACACATCCAAAAAAAGATGATGTGGTGCGTCCTGATTCGTCTCCGAATGGCTTTCGATGACTGCACAGAATAATTTCCTTCGTGCAGATCTTGAGAGTTAAATAATTTAATTTTACATAATATTGCTCCTAATTCGTTTAATAAATATCGACATTATAGCAAAATCCTGTAAGGAAACAATTGCATTAATTTTACTTTTTAACATTTATTTGCCCCTTCAAAATGATACAATAATATCGATTATTATGTTTTCATAGCAGGCAATCACCAGCATGATTCTTTGTAAAACACTCAAATAGACTGTTAGATTATAACAAACATCTCTAATTATAGCCTAACATCTGTACGCCACTATAACACATATCTCAGTTACAAGAATGGGTGTACAAGTTCTATTACACAGAATTATAATTAGCATTTCTTGAACTATATTTGCTTTATTACTATTCTATTAGCTTTTCTACATGGTATCAGAGCTTTTCGGTTCACAACCCAATACCCACTGCGGTGGCAGCTTCCTTCTTTCCCCACGCCGAAGACGCCTCAACAGAAGTCACCAACGAAGACGTCACCATTCCTTCCTCACTGAAGTTCCTCATTTCGAATATCAAAACATCATCCCTATTCAGTTGTCTAACAACAACTATTCCACATGGCGGCCGAAAATCCTAAAGCTATTTCGTACAAATAGATATGCCAGTCTCATGGACAACTCCATTGATGCTCCTCCCCTCCTCGATCCATATGGCATCTCCAGACCAAATAAGACTTATACCCGGACATTAGTCGACCAAAACCTTGCAGTCGTGCTCTGTTCCACCATCACAACTAGTATTCACCCATACATCTTCTATCTAGACATCTATGTTGATATTTGGTGCACACTCGAACGACGACTTCAAGCTAATAATAGGTTGCACGTTATACAGCTCAAAAATGAGATGCATCACATCTCCATGGGACAACTAATGATGCTCCAGCACCTTACCAATGTCAAGAGTCGTCAACAACATCACAGCGGCTGATTGCTTCATCAACAATGAAGACATTCTCCTATACACACTCAACGGAGTTTTTTTTTTTCTTATATACGAGCTCTTAATTAGTTCATTCAGAATAGGGTGACGAGAAATTAGTAGCCCTACAAAATTTTCAACTTCGATTTCGAAGAAAATTATTAATTAGTTTAAATAATAATAAAAACTCATAATTGTCTAAATTCTTTATTTAAAAAAATTTTATTAAAAAAATAAAATAAAATTTTCAATTAAAAAAGAATTTTGGATTAATAACCTTAATCTCCTTAGAGACAAATAATTAATGCTTTAAATTATTTATGATTTATTACACCGATATTTAAGTTATTTAGGCTTTTTTTTTCAAAATTATCAACATCGACATTAATATTAATCTTGTCTCTAGGATTGTTTTCAAAATGATTAAAAAAAAACTAATAAATGAATATAATTTTTTATGATAAATTAATTTTAAATGAATGCCTTAATAAATATGACATAAATATTTCGGTTAAATATTACTTAATCAAGAAAAAAATGATCTAACTAACATTATAAATTAATTTATCCAAAGTAATATAAAAAACTGTGTACAGCAACACAAGAACTCTTAAAATAAGCATTCAGCAGCTTCGTCCTGGTTTAGCCCTCCACACTGAGTTTTGATGTCCGAAGCTGCTTCCTCTTAGGATCGTTCAACAGCTGCAGCTTCCTACTCAGCTTTTGACGCTGCTGATAACTTATTGAAACCAGGACACTCTAGGTTCATGGGCGAACAGGTGCAACGCCAGCAACACCAGGGCGAGGTGGACCAGGTCTTCCCAAATCCTCCCTGCGCCTGAACCGCTGTGGAGGCTCACGAACTCTCCTGGCAGTGCGAGATCTAACTCTTACAACATGAGAGTGAATAGCGTGTGAAGACAGCCAATAGGATTTCTGTAATTTCATTTGCTTTCCACGTCAGCATGTACTTTCTTGGTTTTTCCACTGCTCTCTCTGTCTTTATATACACCGTGTACCTTGTATTGTGCGAGATCTAACTCTTACAACATGAGAGTGAATAGCGCAGGAAACACAGTACTGAACCTTAGCATAGAGTTTTGGGAGAGTATAATTTTCATAGACACAGGCCTCCTGTACATCCCTGACGGCAGCTTGTTCCACGATATTCCTCACCACAAACCTCTTGATAGCCTTATCCTTGGGACAGCATTTTCCGCAGTTGGAGCAGCGGATAAAGTTGACGTGGCCGCGGCCGTGCTTCTTACGCCCGCCATTTCTACGCTTGAAGGTCATTGCCGCAGCCAATCTGCTCTTTAATTATGCCCTAATTGCAAAACCACTCACCCTCTGCCGGCTGCTCTTTCTTGCTTCGTTTAAGCTTCCTATTAGATCAATGGAATAAAAGATCGAATAATATAAAATCAATGGAATACAAAATAAATGTCCAATCCGGATTCATAGGACGATCGAATGATACCTGCGGAAACAAAAAGTATTATTCCCGAGCGCTGTCGCGGCCAATTATACCCAATGCCGAATCCGTCGGCCCTGAACGCGGCCGTGCTTCTTACGCCCGCCATTTCTACGCTTGAAGGTCATTGCCGCAGCCGATCTGCTCTTTAATTATGCCCTAATTGCAAAACCACTCACCCTCTGCCGGCTGCTCTCTCTGGCTTCGTTTAAGCTTCCTATAAAATCAATGGAATAAGCTTCCTATAAAATCAATGGAATAAAAGATCGAATAATATAAAATCAATGGAATACAAAATAAATGTTCGATCTGGATTCTTAGGATGATCGAATGATACCTGCGGAAACAAAAAGTATTATTCTCAAGCGGTGTCGCGGCCAATTATACCCAATGCCGAATGTCACAAATCAAGTGCTTCTTTGTTATCCCTCACCACATCGCCTATCACGTCCTTAAATAGGGCTTTGGAAGGAGAAAGATGCTCTTAACCATCTATTATTCAACAGAAATGCTTCATTCCCGCAGCCAATAAAGGAGTATATGACCTAAAAAACGGGAAAAATTAGCTCTCTTATGGACTCCAATGAACGGCAGCCACATCATCAATATATATATATATATATATAAACATAATTATATTAATGTGAGCATAAATTCATAATTATTTTTTTTTTTTTTTAGTAAGTATAGGGGTTGAGGTGGGCTAAAAATATAATTGAACGAGTATTCAACATCTATATAACACTACCAAAATATTAATGTTTTCGCAGCAATTTATAGTAGCGGTTTTAAATTAAAACCGCTGCTATAGATAAATATAGACAGCGGTTAAAACTGTTACTAAATTCACTTTTAAAAAATGTAAGCTATTCAAATATTTTGTAACAGCGGTTTGTCAAACAGCTGGCTAAATAGGCCGCTCAATTAACTTCGCCTCTTTTCGTGCCCTAGCCGACTCAGATAACAACTTTGTTTTGGTTTATCTCGCTATGATCGTCCACGTCGAATCAGCTGACACCATTGTCGAAGCCACCATCTTGATGCAGAATCCACCCATTCCGAAGTTGAATCTCGCCGTCCTGATGCCGACGATGAGGGGAGGAAAGGGAGATGGAGATCCGATGCCGTTGGTGCATGGAGGTACTTACGATTTTTGGTGAGTAAATTTCTACACTTCTCCATGGCTCTATTAGCAATACCGATGATTCACTTATATTGAGATTGTTGAGTATGAGATGATAATTATTAGTTGTCTGCGCTTCTCGATGTATGCCGAGAGAGATCAGATTTGGCAATTTTTAATTTTCAGGTATCTCTGTCAGTCTTGCTTTTTCGTCAGCTAGAAGAAGAGTTGTGATGTTTCGGCAGCAAGAGACCTCTAATGTTTCAAGGGGAATAGAATTTGAAATGCTACAAAAATTTCAAGTCTTCCAACTCCTAATTTCTATCTTCAAGATCTTGAGCGTAGGAGGCAAATGTGGGAACTCTTTCAACTTCGGGCAGTCAATTAGGTTCAGTTCAATTAAGCAAGGAAACAAACATCCATCTTCAGCACTACTCCTGCCTCAAACCAATCCTCTAATGCTGGAAAGAGGAGCATTACTAGATATCGGAAGATTATTTGGTAACCTATTCTATCCGCTTTTCAATTGAAAACCTAGGAACGCTTGGATTTTCTCTTTTGGTAGTTTTGCCATGATCTTTTTCTTAAACTCTGTTCTTAACCTTCTTGTTCAGCAGCTTCTCTGTTTTCCCTTCCAGGGAACTATAAAATTCAACATAATGCTCCATATTATTGCTATTATTCCTGCTATTAATTGTTAAACTGATTGTATGTTACTATATAGTAGCGCTACTCTTGTAGCTGTTCTATACTAGTGCAGTATTAGTTAAAATAATAAATTTAATTTTCTTATGGTTTTATAATATTTTTTAGGTTAATCAATGTGGAATTTGTTATATTCTTATGTTTTTCTTAATGTTCACCTTTTTTTAAGCTGTTGCGTTTGCAGAATCCACCTTCTATTCTGACTTTAGCTGTCATCAAACTATCTAGTTGTCTTTGGCTTGGACGGTGTGGGTCTGTAATAGATTGGCACAACACTGGATATACTTTACTTGGATGTCACATGGCAGTAACAATATTATAGTTAAACTTTACAAATGGTAATTGTTGACTTTAATGGCTTGTATATTTTCTCATACCTTCCCTTAACTTTATTATTAAAATGTAATGTCATATGGACTTCTAGGTTTGAGAAATATTTTGGAATGACAGCTAATAGCCCTTATTTCTTTTGCTGCGAGAATGTGTTATTCATTGTAGGAGCATTTTTCGCTTTTCGAAAGGTTGTTCAAATTGCTTCATATAAGCATTGATGGCTTCGTCTACTGATATTTGTGCCTCTATATAATGGGTAGGTTAGCATACGAATGAACTGTGTCTCACACAAGCGGTGAATAGAAAGGCCCAGGATAAAGGCCTCCAAGGAAAACTCCTCTCAATAATTCAATATCTACTCCTGAAATTTTTCGAGCCACAGTAAAAAATCATTGTAAATACTCCCTAAGTGATTCTCTTTTATTCTAGAGAATCCCAAAGAGATGAGAAGAATCCTTAATAATTCTTTGATTGACAACAAATTGTTCAATGAATACTTTGGCCAATTTGACAAAGGTGAAGATTATTCCAGCGGAAGTAAATATAACCATGTTCATACTTGTCCTTTGAGTGTGGTATGAAAAACTTAATATAAGAGCACATCTGAGGCTCGTTGTATATACATGATGGTCCTACAATAATCGATATGCTCGTATGGGTCGGATGTCCCATTATAGGAATCGATGCTCAGTAGTTTGAAGCATACTAGAATTGGGTGTTGAAAGATGGCTTCGGTCTTGGATAATGACTATTGGAAGTCCCACTGATGATAAGATTATCGTATACCTCCTACGGGGAACTCTTCTCAGACTAATCTTTGTAATTCATGATGTAGGGCGTTACAAGAGAATCCAATAATGTGCTATCGAGCTAAGTCCTCGAGGATGTCCAGAAGAATGTAAGGTTGGCAACCTGCTGGCGAAAGATGAGTAGAGCTTATTGTGTCAGCAAGCTCATTGGCTTGATGTGTAGGATGATACATCCTTGGTGGAGAAAGGGGAATCTCAACATAAATAAGTTCAGGTTAAACATCTTTGATCTCTAGTGGATCCCGAGAGAGAAGAATGTCTTCATATAGTGCTAGTGCTAGTCATCGAGTCTCTCGTAGGAGTTGAATGATCTCATTATAAGATTCCACCATCTTCCTGATGTAATCTTCTAAGAAAGGTCATAAAGTTCCTTCTCCAGTATAAAAAGAGGCAGATACTTAGCCTCCATGATTATAGACTGATTCCTGGATTAGTGTAAGTTAGAGAGGGAAGCTCCCAAAATGCGATTATTATGCCTGTTGTCCATTAAAGTGATGCGTAGGATAGTGGGATTGAGATCCCATAGATGGCACCAAATTATTATGGGCTAGAATATACGTGGTGATAGAGTGATAATATTATGTCTTAGCATTATATAGATATCTAGCTCACATACAGAGAGTACAAATTTTTTTTACATGAAAAATGCTAGAAAGTGGAAAAACCACGGGGCCTGGCCTAGCCTAAAATGATTCCACTAGTGTTTGGATAGATTACAATGGGCTGACTCATCCCTAAGGGCAATCAGATTACAAATGCCAATCGTAAGGTTAAAATCTAGTGACAAATAGGGATGATAGTCTAGCGCCACTTGGTCGTATGTTAGAAGTCTGGCATAACTTGAAAATTAAGGTGTTAATTGGTATTCTGGCAAAACTCTAGGGTCACTTGGTGGTCTGATGAAACTCTGGGAGTCAGGTAGTGGTCCGATAGAACTCTGGGCCTTAGGTTGTGGTTTGACAAAACTCCGAGCATCAGGTGGTGGTGCAACAGAACTTCGATGTCAGGTGGTGATCTAGCGGAACTCCTACATCAAGTGGTGGTCTGACAGAACTTTGAGAGTCAGGTGGTGGTCCGGCAAAACTCTGGGCCTCAGATGGTGATCCAACAAGAGTCTGGGCCTTAGGTGGTGGTCTAGTAAGAGTCTAAGTCTTAGGTGATGGTCTGGAAGAACTCCGGGCCTCAGGTGTTGGTTCAACGGGAATATGGGCCTCAGGTGGTGGTTCGGCAGGAGTCTGGCCTTAGGTGGTGGTCCGGCAAGAGTTCGAGCCTTAAGTGGTGGTTCAGCAGGAGTCCGATCCTCAGGTGGTGGTTCAGCCTTAGGTGATGGTTCGGCATAACTTCGGTGGTGGTCGAGGAGGATCTAGGGGCAAAAGTGATCTTCAATCTCTCTCTTGCTCTTTTAGGCCCAACTCCCTTTTCAAGAGGAAGGGGGTATATTTATAGATTTCATAGAGTGGCATGGCCCATAAATAGAAGGAAGATCAAGGGAAAATGGGGAGTGGCTTGGATGGACGGCCAATGTTGAATCCCTTGATTGTGAACCGTTTGCTAGACATTTGATTTTTCCTCGAGATTTGTGTCCAATCATGAAAAAAAAATTATGATGTATCAACAATATTCTTATCTTCGTGTAGATCTTGAGAATTAAATAATTTCATTTTACATAATGTTGCTCCCAATTCTTTTAATAAATATGAACACTATAGTTAAATCCTTGAAGGAAATAGTTGCATTTTACCTTTTAATATTTATTTTCTCCTTCAAAATGATCACAGTAATACCGATTATTATTTTTTCACTTTCTTACACCATCTATGTTAATGTGATTATAATTGATCTTGTTTCTTATTTTGTCTTGTTTCCCTTTAGTGTGTGAAAATGTATTAGAAATCCATAAAGTATCTGACTGCTTTTTGGCCGAAAACTGCATCTCGTTTCTATTGGAAGGAGTGGGATCCGAAAATCTTCTTGGGAAATCTTGATGTGAGGAAGGTGAATGTGAAGGTAGATGTCAGTTTCAATAGTAGTAATTGTTACCTGGGTGACCCGTTTCTTTCTTTCGATTTTGTTTTTCCCATTGGATGGCTCTGCCCTGGCAATTCGATGCTGATTTAAGTCCGCGTCTTTTGACTCATACTCATATTGGTCTTTTTTATGATTTTTGATGTTCTTCTTGTAAGCTATTGATGTGGCCCAATGTGGGGTCTTCTTTTATAACCTACCTCTTTTAATGTATTGGTTTTTTTATTAAAAAAAATAGTAGTAATTGTTTAAAAATAAGTTTATCTTTGAGACTAATTTGTTTTAATACATTTGTTATGCTGATGTTATTTACAGTGGTTTATAGGCGGCATTAACAAATATTTGCTATAATATTTTGGATGTTAGGCTGACATATAGGAAGCTCCTGGAGAAGTTTTGTCAGGTTTAAGCATTCCTTTACTTGAATTTCTTTTAATGCTACCCTGCATTTCTTCAAAATATTTATTATGTCTTATCTCCATGTCAAGTTAGTTATACAATTACTTTAAAGATGTGGGTGTTAGGAAGGAACTTTTATTTGGTCCGGTGTAAGGATGCAAAGGAACATCTGGTTGTAGGCAAAATCCCGCCTATACCGAGGTGTACCGAGTTTTTTGGGTATAGGCGGGATTTTGCCTACAACCGGATGTTCCTCTGCATCCGGTCGGAGGACGTAATAATTATTCGTTAGGAAGGGTGATATAGTTGTGATTTACTTACCAATATTGACAGATATAGTAATAACAAGTGTATATGAATAACATATGAATGAATATAAGTACTGATTGCATATAATAGATAGAATGGATGTAAGATGATAAGATTGATAATATTGACATGTGCCTTTGATTCTTTTTACTAATGCTTGAATGATTAGAGTGCTGCTATTTTACTGATTTACTGATTCTCATGCATGTTATTGATTCCTAGATTTATTGTAATGATTTTTTTTTACTTTTATTATTGGTTATCTTGAGCTTTACAAACGATAATTGATTATTGATAACATTGATTTTTGACTGAATTGAGTATGAATATTGATTCTTCTGGCCTTGTTTTGAAAGCATTGGTGAGTTTGAGTCACTGTTGGGCTTTTTTGTTAGATTTTAATGATTTTATGTCAGGGAAGGGATCAAGACCAGACCGAGCGAGATTGACAAAGATTCTTAGGTCTTTCTATAATTTTTTTTCCTTCTCATATGTGAGCTCTTATTTTAGCTCAAGGGGAATGGGACATGAGTAGCCCTTCTAATGATTTAAAAAAAAAAAGGCCGAAAAGGATGATCATAATGGGCTTCTTATTAGGCCCACTAAACTGACAGGCAAGAAAGAAGGCCTGCAAACCCTTACACTTGGACTCCTAAGAAAATTACTAATTAACTCAAAAATTAATTAAAATTCACAATTTTCTAAATCCTTTATGTACAAAAAAATTATTAAAACATTTTCATTTAAAATTTTCAATTAAAAAATAAATTATTTTAATAATTTTAAGTTTGATTTTAAGATAAATATAACATATAATTAATTAAAATTGTATTAATCTTATAATTAATCTCAAAATAAATTTAATAATTAGAAAAATAATTTTTAAACAAATTTTAATAAAATATTTAGACTTTTTTTTGTTAAAATTATCAACATCATCATTATTATTATTTTCATCAGCTGAATATCAACTTGTATTTATTTGCTTTCAAACACTTGATGTCAACCTATCTTAGCCTCTAAGATTGTTTTCAATAGAAAGAAACTAATAAATGAATACATTTTTAATGATAAATTAATTTTAAATGAATGCTCTAACTTTTTTTTTTAACATTATAAAACAATTTATCCGTATTCTTATAGTTCCAAGTTATTTAAAAAGCAGCACATGAATCCTAAAAATAATTATTTCATAACTTATATATTTTCATCATATTTTTATATTTAATATTTTTATTTTATTTTTTACGAGATAAATATCAAAATGATTCCCCAATTTTTTAAAGTCATATTTTAATCATTTTATTTTTAAAATAAGGATCTAAATAATCCATTAAATTTTTGTTTGAGATAGCTTTTCTACTTATTTCTAAAGTAATTTTTTAATATAAAATTTTGATTTAAACCACTGAAAAGGTAGTATATATAAAGCTGTTTCAAATGAAGTCTAAAGATTAGTAAGTTAAAAGGACTATTATTTTTAAATCTCTTTATTTTATTTTTCAAAAAATTTAATATTTTCTTGTGAAATTTGGAGAACCATAAATAGGTTTTTTTTACTCATGAAAATGTCAAAATATTTGACCTTCTGAAGATCCTCATTAATGCTTCAGTGGTCTTCATATTTGTTGACAAGGAACATGTCCCTATCTTTAATCGTGAGTCATCAAAAACAATTAATAGAGCAGTCAATGTGATGTTATTACAAAAGAAATATGAGAATTTGTTTATATAAAATATTTTATCTTCTTCTCATATATTCTTACAAGTGTCAACAAGTCATTAATTAGGGTTGGTAAAGAAACAACAACAAAAGCAGGGGTGGAAGTGGGAGGAGGAAACATGTGGTGTCGATGGCTTGTGGGAGCTTTGTTTGAAATGTTTTCTTTTTTTGGGACGGGATAATCTATTCGCGGTCATATTCATAGGAGATGTATGGCGGCGTAACTAATCTCTCGGTGATCCTATCAGCAACCAGCCCATAGGTGCAGGACCTGCAGCTATTTTCTCCCCACTTAAGGGGTCGCACTGCATGAGAGAAGAATCGAACATGGGTTGCGGGGTTCCCAACCATGCTCGCCCACGAACCCACCTAAGCTCGGTGAGATTTTGTTTGAAATATAATTAAATAAAAAATTTTGATTAATTTTTTATTTGGTTTGAAGTTAATCATATCAATGTTTATTTAGTTAGGGTTTAGGATCCCAATTATAGAAAATTTATGATTGGCTTTATTAATCAATGCTCCTAATTCTTCGATTATGTGGTAGGCTCGGATGTAATTGAGCGATAATTAGTATGAATGAAGATGAGATCTATATAGACAAACTCTTATCAACATTGAAGTTCTTCTTTCTTGAGATATTCAATTAATGTAGTGTTGTGGATGCATACAACATCAATCGCACATATGTCAAATTTTAACTTGGCATATGTTGTATGTGTCAATTATTTCGAAATATAGTATGTCATATGATAGATGAATACCAATGTAGGTCGGAAGGACCAAAATATACAGGAGACCTAAGTTAGAAAGATCGTTGTATGGTGATGTAGGTCGGAATGACCATAGTAGGCGATGAGGGTCGGAAGGACTATAATCGGCAAGAGACAGAGGTCCGAAAGACTGTAGTTGATCGAAGATCGGGGACAGAAAGATCGTTGTAGTAGGGTGATAGTCTAGTAGAACTCTGTGCATCAGGTGTTGGCCCGACAGAAGTTCGGGCCTCAGGTGGTTGTCCGGTAGAATTCTAGGCCTCAGGTGGTGGTCCGGCTGAAGTCCGCACCTCAAGTGGTGGTTCGGCTGAAGTCCGGGCCTCAGGCGGTGGTCCAGAAAAAGTTCGGGCCTCAGGTGGCGGTCCGGCGGAAGTCCAGGCCTCAAGTGGTGGTCTGGCAGAAGTCTGAGCCTCAAGTGGTGGTCCGATAGAAGTCTGAGCCTCAGGTGGTGGCCTGGTGAAGCACAGGGCCTCAAGTGGTGGTCTGGCGGAATTTCGGACCTTAGGTGGTGGTCCGGCAGAACTCCAACGGTGGTCGAGGAGGAGCGAGGAGGCAAGAGCGATCTCTGATCTCTCTCTTGCTCTCTTGCTTGGAGCCTCCCTTTTAAGGAGAAAGTAGAAGTCTATTTATAGATTTCTGGAGTGGCATGGCCCGTAAATAGGTGAGAGAACAATGGTAAATGGGGAGTGGTTGGATAAACGGCTGATAGGTCTTAATGATGTCGGAATTTGACGATCTTGGGCTCGTTGGATTTGTCTCGTTGAGCCGCTCGATTTGACTATAAGCACCTAATGTTTAGAAACCCTTTGGTATTCCATATTGTAGTTCGAACCTTCCAACAACTCTTCGGGTCCTTGATTTGGACTCATTTGGGCTCGGATTGAATCGAATTTGGTGTCGTTGGGTTTGTATTTCTGAGACGTTCAATTTAATTATAAGTTTATTGAAATCAAAGTTTGGATAGTCCCTATTTTAATTTCGGAAGTTTCCAACTTGATTTTGCTTCGAGATTCGTGCTTGATCAAGATAATTTTTTGATAACGTATCAATAATGAAGGCGAAAAACATCATTGTAGCCTACTATCACTACTCATCATTGCCAATAAGTCAATCATCCATCATCGTCAATAATGTGGATGACTTTTGTTGTCAACAAGGTAGACATACGTTGTCACCACTAATGTTGATGCCCACCATCATCATCAAAGTTGATACTTATCATCATGACCATAATTAATGCCTGTCTTTATATTTGTCAGTCTCCACTCCTAATTAAAAGAAAGATAAATCATATAAATAACAATATTAAGACTTTAAAATTGTTACTTCTATCATCAAAAATATTTTTCATAGTTTATATCGACTACATTATACTCAGGGGTGGAACCAATTTAAATTTTGAGGTGGGACAAATACAATAAATAAATAATTAAATATTAAAAAATAATATTATATATCTATATATTACGAAAAGTTTTTTAAAAAATTTTAAGCAAGAAAAATAAAGAAAAAAAAGATTCGCCTGGGTTGTAATTTGCTTCGTTTTAGCACTTGGTTAGTTCTTGTATTCATTTCTTTCAGGCTAAAAATCATGTTTTGAGTTTCAAAATCGCGTTTTGATTCCATCAGCCTTTAATTGGAACTTATTCAGGGGACGAATATTCTCAGATCTCGATGAAAGTTCGTTTTTTGTATGGATTTCCTACTTATCTGTAATGCGGGGTTTCAGTGAAACTGTCTGAAATTTTGCAATAACTAGTTTGGTTTCTAGTTCACTATAGTGAAGTTCTTATTCTCCTTATTTATTCTTCGTTGCAGTGGGGTATTTCATAGGTGCATTAACCGGTGGTCTTATAAGCCTTGCGACCGAGTCTGGATTTTTCCAGGGCGCAGGAATTGGAGGCATATCTGGAGCTGTCTTCACAATTGAGGCTGCAGAATCTGCTCTCACCATTTGGCGTGCAAATGATTCTGTGATTTGGAGTATTCTTTACATGGTGCGTTGAAGCAGACTTGTTTGATTTAGGCTTCGTTTGGGACGGCTTTCTTGATGCTTCTTAAAGCAGCTTTCTAGTGCAAAAATTAAAATTTTTATACTAAAAAGCTGCTTTAAGAAGCAATAAGAAAGCAGTTCCAAACAAAACATTAGTTAGATGGAATTTCGTTTAACTTTAGAGCATTTGAATGAATCTGTAGTTAATCCTTTTAGAAGGGCCATAACACAGTTGTGAGGCTTTGGTGTGCTTTTATTCAACCTCCTTGAGTCATATTCTAGTTTTAAGGAATGATTTTAATCAAATGCAACCGTGGCTCCCTGTAAATTTGAAACATTGGATGATCATATCTTGAGACGGTCTGATCCTTGCTCAAGATCAGCTCAATGCCATTTGGTCTGATCTCGAGCTCAGCCAGGGTTGATTGAATCTTGAATCAAACCTTCCATTTCCCATTCATGTTGTTCTAGGCTTGATTAGAGCCTATAGCCAATCTTTAATTTTATGGAATTCTGACCCTCCATAAATGTTTGTCAACTTAAATGCATCCATCTATGTGGATATGGAACATGCATGCATGCTTCCATGTGGATATAGATTTCTAACTGCATGCATACGCACATCAATTATTTAAGTATTATTTAATCAAATTGGAACCTGTTCTCACAATTGATACTTTGGATTATGGTTGTGGATGTTTCTATATTAAGCTATTTTATCTAGCTCAACCATGCTTGATCAACCCTTTCATGAACCATAAATTTTGATTTATGCTCAATTAGAGCTATAACCAATCTTTGTTTTAATGAAAGTTTTGGTCTCTAGGACAATTGAGTCAGCATGCATGCATGCATCTATGCAGATATAGATTCTTAAATGCATGCAAAGGCCATTCATCTATTTGATCTATGCTATTGTTAAAATCACATGATGTTTTATTTGAATGATTCACTTAGGAAAACCAATGACCTTTCAATACTTTATATTTTTATGTTTTTAATAGATAAATATGGTTACTATACTTTTATTAAAAAGACAGTTGACACTCACTTAGGCTTCGTTTGGGACGGCTTTTTTACTGCTTTCTAAAACTGAGTTTTAATACAAATTTTTTTATTTTTGTACTAAAACTCCGTTTTAGAAAGCAATAAAAAAGCCGTCCCAAACGAAGCCTTAGAGTAAATCATGATTATTTATCCATTTTTCACTTTACTACCATCCTAATGCACTTAATCAACAACTAAATTAAATCCATTGGAAAAATTCATCCTTAAATTGTAAAGAATTGGTATCTTTTATTTTTGATAAATAAATTATATATAGAAAGAGAGAGGTAGAGAGAGAGGGAGAGAGAGGGAGATTTGGAAATAAGTGTATGCATATTCATTCATACATGGGCTCATGCATTTCAATTCAATCTTGAGCTAACTCAAATAGGGGTTGGCTTAATTCCATTTAATTTGAACCAAACATAGCTCATTAGTTGACTTTGATTTCAACTAATTGGTTTAAAATCTAGCTTGATCAAAGACAAATGTCTTCAGACTCCAAGTGAAGTTAATAGCTTTCTAATTCATGTATGTTGGCAGATGGACATTATCTGCAGCCTCCTGAGTGGAAGACTCGTCCGCGAGAAGGTTGGACCGGCTTTCCGCAGCGCCGTTCAAAGTCAGGTACCCTCTTATTTAAAAAAAAAATTATCAACAGAAGAAGAAAGTAAGGATATTAGTTTTTTGAAATGTTGCCTGAAACTTCAGTTAATGAACAATTGCAGATCAGTGCTGCTTTCTCACCCTTAACTGTGGATTTTGACATTTTTGAAACAAGTAGTTCATATGGAATGTCAAGGGACTCAGTACAAAAGCTTCCCAAAACCATCATAACCAAATTAAACAAGTCCGATTTCTCTGGCATTTGCTGTGTGGTTTGCCTTCAGGTTTACAATCTATTCTTGAATTCTAATGTGATTTGGAAGAAACCCAGCATTCAAGATGTGATTTTTTTCCCCCTTTTTCAGGACTTCAAAATTGGCGATTTGGCAAGGATCTTGGTTTGCTGTCAGCATAGATTCCATTTATCCTGCATCGACAATTGGCTAATGAGGCAGAGCAGTTGCCCGCTATGCAGACAGGATTTCTTGAACTGTTCTTTGTAAATTATCTGTATAACACCCTTTCTTTGTATACCTTTGTTTATTTTATTTTGTTTGTGAGTCAGGGTTGTGGTTGTAGTAGGTTATTTCGGTTTCGTTTGGGGGACTAAAGCAGCTTTTTAGTACAAAAATTTTAATTTTTGTACTAAAAAACTGTTTTATGAAGCAATAAGAAAGCCATCCCAAACGAAACCATATCAATTTCATAACTTTAAATAAGGTCTTAGACTGCTAACCACCATAATTTAAACTGGTTGGTTCCTCTTGTATGATAGTCGATAGATAATAAATATTTTCCGGTCTTTGGTCTGTGATATTTTCAGAATGCTTTTACATTCAAGTTGTTAAAATATCAAGTTGTCCAGCTTAATTCATGTCATATGAAGAAACCATTAGAGATGAACCAGAGATATTGAAGTTATGAATTCTTCTGTAAAATCTCCATCATCATAGTATTTTATATTTAATTATATGTTATTGTGTATACACCTAAAGTGTTATATTTTATCTTAAATAAGAGTGATTTTTTTTATGTAATTTAGATATTTAAGTGTTATATAAATAAATATAAAAAATTTAATATTTGATATACAAATATATAAGAATTTTGTGGTATATATGTATAATTTATTTAACAATATAAATAATGTGTTCAATTAGTTAAAAAAAAATTCTAATATATTGATTAGTTTGCCTATCCTTCAAAATCATATTTTCTTTTAAAGCTTGATTTGATAATTATGCACTGATATGTCATTGGAATAGCGATATATCATATGAATTGAAGGGGTAAATGACAAGTATACATTATTGCTCTTTAGATGGCGATGAACATTATATTGTAAATAAAATTGGGAAATATCATTTACCCTAAATTTTGAGAAGGGGATTGATCAAAGAAGGATAAAGTTAATGAAAAAAAATCTTGCCCTGAAAAGAGAATTTTGGTTTTCCAGATTTATTTTTCTTAGTAAACTAGTTGGTTTAATAGGTATGTTGGTCAGCCGATTCGGTTGGGTCTAGCGTGATGTCTAGGGTTTCTCTGCTCCCAACTACCACTTTGATTGGATAACTTTTCTTCCCCAAATCTCTCTAGGTTTCTTTTCCATTTTCCTTCCTATGTTTGTGGATCCCTGGTTTTTGGATGGGAAGGTTAAATCTAGGTCTTTTAGATATATTTTATCCGGTGTGTCGGCTTCGCCAGACTTTCCCCCGTTCAAAGTATCCTCCCACCATGGTTTGCCAGCTTTGTTAATCTCTATCGAGGAAATGCTTTCTCTTGCAATGCCCTTTGAGTTTGCTTTAGTTGGGAAGTTTTTGGGCCGACACCCGCCTCTTGATACGATTCGTAAATTTTTCTTTAATCTAAAGCTTGTTGGTGATTTCATGGTTACTTTGTTAAACCCTAAAATATATTGATTAAGCTTGTCAATGACTTAGATTACTGTAGGGTTTTCTCTCATCGCTCCTACTTCGTTAGCAACTGCTTCAAGAAGCTTTTTAAATGGACTCCACATTTTGACATAAATGTAGAGTCTCCCATAGTCCCCATTTGGGTTTCTTTCCCCTATTTACGCCCTCATCTTTTCTCCCCCCGCAACTTCATGGCTTGGGGTCGCTGTTTGGTAGGCCCTTGAGAACGGATAATGTGACTATTAATGGCTCTAGGCCTTATGTGGCTCGCATATTAGTAGAATTAAATGTTACTAAAAGATATACTTCTCAAGTCTAGTTTGGCTCGAAGTCTATGGGTTGAAATGGAAGAGTTTCCTTCGTATTGCATTCATTGTAAAATTTTTGGTCATTTGAAGGATTGTTGCCCGATCCTTTTTCCAAATATGGTGTTGCTCCTTCTATCGAGGGGATCATGACTGATGCTCATTCTTCACATGATATAGAGGGTCTTAATATTACCCCTGTCATTATTTTTGGTGGGGTGGCTCAAGGTGATTTGGCGGAAAATCAATATCTTATATGTGCTCTAGAGAATAATGGTGATGATTCTCCTTTGCTTAATAATGTGGTGCATGCTTTATCTCAGGATCAATGTGGTGTTGTTTTTCATAGTTCTAGTTTTTTTATTTCGCCTTTTGTTAATGCTTAGGAGATGGCATATGTGCCATTATTTGGCTCTGATGATTTTTTTTTTTTTTTGGTGGGTGGGGGGGGTGGTTTGGGGTTGTGCTTTGGCTTTGGCTTTGTTGAATGTGGAGATGGAGGGGATGATTAGGTGGCAAGAGATGTTGTAATTTGTTTTGCTTCATCTGATGTTGTGGTTTCGCCTATTCTTTTAAAGGAGCCGGTTTCACCCTCTCTTGTTGGGGCTACTGATTAGCCTATGACTAAAGGCCTACGAAACCTGGGTCCCTTGTCGATGTGCCTATTGTGGTTATGTCCCCTAAAGGCTTGATTGTTCAACATGTTTCTAATTTAGGTGTCACTTGTTCTGGGCTTTCGGGTCTAGATGTTGAATCTCCGTCATCGCCTAGTGGGGGTGGTGATGATATTCATGAGGAGCAAGTTGAGTCTCTTCAGAATTTTTATGGATTACAGGTTTGTCATGTTGTTGATAAAGTTGTCTCTCGTGGAGGAGAAAATCTATAAAGTAATTGTTATTTTGAAGCTTTGGTGTGTCGCTTGTTTTTTGCTTAGCAAGTGAATTTTGTTGATGTTTGTTTCATTTGTGAGCTGGGGTCTATGTCTTTGTATGTGGCTGTTTGGTTTGTTTTTTGGCTCATACTTATTTTTGAGTTAAGCTGGTCGGTTTTGCTCAGCTTTGGTGCTATTTGTGGGGGAGGAATTTAACTCTTATTCTTGTATTCATTCTGTTCATGTTATGTGCATGTTATTTCTGACTTTTCTGGACTTGGTTTCGGGTAGCTTGGATGTTCGTCGTGGACATTTGTTGCTAAGCTGTTGCTTTTGATGCAGTTGGAGTTTGTTGATGCTTCCTTATTGTTATCTTTTATTTTGCTTTGTCTCTTATGTATTAGGTTGTATATAAAGCTCGTATGTTTTAATTCAAATGATGTTCTTTTAGTGAGCTTATGATCTTTTAAGGACTTATAATTTTTATCATTATTAACGCGTAGGCCCCACAATGAATTTTATCAAAAAAAAAATCTCTTTCTTAGAAGGAAGCTCTATACTTTAATAGAAGAATTTGGATGACATAGTCAAGAATATTGACCAATAAAGGAGCTAAGCCATGTAGGTCATGTAAAAAATAATTTGTAATAGTTCATTGATGTACAAACCAACTAAAACATCAATAGAATATGCTTAAGAGATTGCATGGTTAACACATTCATTGAAAAAAAGATATGAATGATAGAAATGATTTAAGCCTTTGTTGTACTTACTATCTTCAATATAACACAATATGATTCCTACCTTACATTTTCGAAAAATTATTAGATATAGACAACAATTGTGTGAAATGCGCAATTAGGTTAATCCATTTGTATATTCTACATGATTGATCATCCACATATACAATGATCACACCTGACATTTTTTTCTATTTTTATTCTATAAACAGCTAGCCAAATGAAGAATTAGTGGCTCTTCTAACGGGCAAATTATTAGGTCCGGTCACTGGACCTATTTCCAGGTCCGAACATCTATTAAAAATTTGTCATGTTGACTATTCTTTGAGCCAAGAAAGCGCAATCAAAAGCGCAGGTAAAACGCAGTCAAAGCGCACCTAAAGCGCAATCAAAACGCACAGTCAAAGCACAGTCCACATGGCAAGTTTCTATTGGATGTCTGGACCTAGAAATAGGTCCGGTTATTGGACCTAATAATTTGCCCTTCTAATGAGACTTGAAAACTTTAAGTTGGTACACACCCTTCTATTTTCAATATAACCACATACTTTGCAAATAAAAATATAAATTCATGAAAATCCATATTATGTACAATCAGTCATTATTGTCCATAGCTCCCCTAGCCCTCTTGCATTTAGAAAAAACCATTGCACCTTCCATATCAAAATCCAAATACTATTAGCTACAAGTAATTAAACCACTTGATTTAAGCTCCGTTTGGGACAACTTCTTTGCTGTTTTTAAAACGACTTTTTAGTGCAAAAAATTCTTGAATTAAAATTTTTTGTACTAGAAAACTATCTTAAAAAGCAGCAAAAAAACTATCTCAAACAAAAGTTGGTGCAATAAAAAGCATGTTTTTACTGACTTTAGATCCAGCATTTGTTGAGAATAATATAACCAAACAAATACAAAAGAATTCCATAGATTCATTTAAAGGCAATATCATTGCTGAATTGCAATTTTATATGAGAGATCATTCTTCAGCTTAAAATGAGAATGATGAATAAGTCAACTTATTTCTAATAATTTAATGTAAAACAAAATGAATATGATAGACTTCTATGTCAAACCAAATACATTAAGAAATTAATCAAAATACGAAAGGCTGGAAAAATATAAATATTCGGTGAGCCCTCTTACATAGTCGGATAAGGGAGAAATTATTACATCCGGTCAAAAACTGAACGGTCGGAATGTATACCGAGCAATACCGAGTTTTAGGTTATGTGGCGCGTGGTTATTGGTCTCTGAACGCATTCATTGTCCATAGCTCCCCTAGCCCTCTTGCATTTAGAAAAAACCATTGCACCTTCCATATCAAAATCCAAATACTATTAGCTACAAGTAATTAAACCACTTGATTTAAGCTCCATTTGGAACAACTTCTTTGCTACATCTAAAACGATTTTTTAGTATAAAAAATTCTTGAATTAAAATTTTTTGCACTAGAAAACTATCTTAAAAAACAGCCAAAAAAACTGTCTCAAACAAAAGTGGGTGCAAAAAAAAGCATGTTTTTACTGACTTTAGATCCAGCATTTGTTGAGAGATATCCAAAGGAGTTCCATAGATTCATTTAAAGGCAATATCATTGTTGACTTGCAATTTTATATGAGAGATCATTCTTCAGCTTAAAATGAGTATGATGAATAAGTTAACTTATTTCTAATAATTTAATGTAAAACAAAAAAGAATATGATCACATTTATACAAAAGGCTGGAAAAATATAAATATCCGGTGAGCCCTCTTACATAGTCGGATAAGGAAGCAATTATTATATCCGGTGTCCGAATGTGTTCAGAGACCAATAACCATGCGGCATGTCACCTAAAACTTAGTATTTTGGACTCCGTATTGCTTGGTATACATTCGCACCGTTCAGTTTTGACCGGATGTAATAAGTTCTCCCGGATAAGGACCCAACGACAAATCAATAAATCCGGAAAAAAAAAAATAAATCACACTTCGGTTGTAAAAGAAATTGCATAAAACAATTTTAAACAGATGAGAAACAAAAGGATTAAAAAAAAAAAAAAGATTAGACTGAAAAGGTAGGTCTGAGTAGTATAGAATTTACAAGGTGAATGTATCACAAGTTTTTTATGAAGAAAAAAAAAAGAAAATTAAATTAAAAAAGGTTTCCTAGTAAATAACTCTTTATAGTCCCATCATCCTAAATGTGAAAGTAAACCCTAGATTACGTGAAGAAATTATACAGCACAAAGGGATTTGATTCCTTTGTGATAATACAGCGAATCATCATAATAAATCAAAGCAGGAAGCTGAGAGAGTCTGTATCAAGGGCCAGTGAGATCTGCTGGTGCAGCACAAGGGGCAAGAGAATTGTGAGGGAGGGTGATTCCTCCCCCTCTAAGGGAAAGGACTGGAACCTTAGATGAGTTCGCCCGGCTTACCAGATTCGAGTCGAGGAATACGACCACCACCGTTATGTCGTCATGGAAATGCCGGCGAACTCCGCGATCGATCTTCTTAAGATCAGAGTACCGCATCTCTCTCTTCTTGGCTGCTGCTTGGAGTGCGGTTTTTATAAGCCTTTTGGCGCTTCCCTGCTTGAAGAGAACCAAGATAATGGTCAGTATTTCTAAACCCTGTAGAGAATTTATTAAGAACATTGCTGATGATATGTGAGATGGTGAATGAGTGGTGATGGGGATTCAACTTTACATTCTAGTTACGTTCTAAAATATGATGAAATCAGCGAGAACAATCAAAGAAAAAATCAGAAAAACAGTAATTTTATTGCGATAATCAACCTAATGGAAGAAAAATAACAAGATATAATTGATCATCTATTCGAGAGGAGGATCTATTTCTCCCAAATCTCTAGATGCCACTAGAGCCCAAAAACCTAAACCTAAGATATCTCAAATTTCAACCAAATTCAAGATGTCATAACCCTATGAAAACAAACTATTTAATGCATACAATCAAAAAGGATATCTCTAAATAGTCCCTACATTCAAATTTCCCTCCTAACTCCCTCAAAAATCCTTTCTAATCAGCTCCATTGGACCCGGGCGGTCGGATCCCGCATACAGGAAGCGGAGACGTCCGCCTGTTTTGAACAGACGGGCCAGTCCCGTAGAACCGGCTGGACCGATTGTTATACTTTTCAATGTATTTAAAATGCCTCGTAACAAAAAAAAAAAACATTTTATTTGCATCCAACCAAGCAACTACTGCATAAATAAAATATGTATTTTGAAAACATCCAACCAAGCAGACCTAAGATTTGCCTACAGTATAAAAGTGAAGCACCAACACTCATTGTTGGGTTGTTTGATATAAAGCATATCACAAATCATTGAAAACAACTACTGTAAACAAGAACAAATAAAAGAGGACATGAAGAATAGGAACCACGGTGCTCAACCTCTCTGCACAAAAAACCTTGTCACTAAAAAACAATTAAAGCAAATAAGAAAGAAAGAAGAATAAGCAATAAGAGACATGAGGAATAGGAACCACAGTGATCACCCTCACCCTCTTCTCTCTGCCTCTCCTGTCCCACTATGCTTCCCTTTCCTATCTATTCGCCAACCCACTCTCCCTTTCGCTCTCAATTGCCCTATTTCATTGATTATTATTGCATCGATGCTCATAACATTCGGATGGCCCTGTCCTCTTCAGAATTATCACTCAACTCAAGCACATCATGAACATGGAGAGAGCTCCAGTAAAGCTAGATATTTTAAGGGGATTCTACATCGTCAGATTGTCACTTTATGAAATGCCAGCTGAAGGTTAACGTTTGCTAAAAATAACTGATTCTAGATACAAGTATTTTTCATTGGTGTGGAAGAAAATCAAATGTGTTATTTTGAATTTAAAGAACATATAAGATGGTAAATATTAAAAATAAAATAAAATTATGAGGACGGTAATTCTCCTCAAAAGAAAAAAAAAATGAGTATAATATAATATGATAGATAAAGAAAATCACGAGAAAAATAATCATTCTTCTTGTAGAAGAAAATTGCTTAAGGAGGTCAAAAAAGAACATAAATAAATGGTATTTACTGTTGTCGGCCAAATTAAAAAACAGCATCATCTATCTAGTTTGTGCCCACTTCCAACGCCCATCAGCCCATACCCGCAAAATATTTAGGCAGGAGACAAACTCAACATTTTGCTCGATGCTAACTGAACAAAATAATTTTGGCTAGAGAGTATCAATGACTGAAATTACAGGCAAATGCAGTACAAATAACATATCTAATTAACTAAAAACCATCAATTACACTCGAGTTAGGCCATCCTAAAAAAATTGGACAAACAATGAGGAATGTTTGTCATATTTAAAGGTTTTTAAATACTTATTACACATTTATATTGATCAAATCACCAAGATAAACTTGATCCAAAAACCCAAAAAAATCACTTTATTAGATACGAGGGAGATGAGATTGGCTATATTAGGAATTTAGGATCTTTAAAGAAAAAAGTTTCAATGAATCGGTATTATATAAAGATAGATCCACCCCTATTATAAAATAAATCTCCAATCATTCTCAATACTCAAAATTTAAAATTCCATTAAAAAGAATTTGTTAATCAAACCACATACAATACATCCCCATACATCACAAAATATCAATAGATGTTAATCTTGAACCTAAAGTCTTACTATTATACATATTCTTCAAGGTTAACTCTACTTCATTTGTTTTAGATGAATTCTATTTTGTTCACAATGCTCTTCCAAAATAATATTTCACTTTTAAATCTCATTTAATAATATGTCAAATTAGCATTCTATGTTTTCTTAGCATTGTCATCTTTAACTACGATCTTATTATCTTTACATCTAATATGATCAATATCTTTAAATCTCTTACCTCGCATCTTACTTATCATGTATCTTTCATTTTCTCCTACTTTTAACATCAATCCTAATATATAAATCATGAAACAGAAATAATTTGTATTTTGCTCGCTATACACATTACAAAATTTCTAGATTTTTTTATAATCATAATAAACTTAGGAAGTATTCAAGTTTTAACACTCTTACAAGCATATTTATTTAAGCTCCTATGCAATCTTTTTAGTACGATAAGCAGAGAAGGATAAAATAGTGAGAAATTGAAAATCCTATCAAGATAGGTTTATGTAATTAAGATAATTAGTTGCATTAAGAAGATTATTAAGAAAAGTGACAGAAGTCCAAAAATGAGAAATGTCATACTCCACAAAAAAGAACCTGCATTTAAACTTAACTAAGCCACCTCAACTTTTAATTGGGCGAACAGATAAAAGCACTCCCCGAGTAAAAGCATATATGCACCCCATTTAATTGGACTATATACGAAGGTGAACCCCAAATGATTTTTTTTGTAAACCGTTAGAACGGTCCATTGGATTGGTCCAGCCGGTCCATACAGGACGACCCACAGGAACAGAGGCGGAAGATTTCTGCCTCTTTGATATGTTGTTCGAACTGTAGAAGCCAACCAAGCATTTTAGGAAGGACTTTTGAGGGAGTTAGGAGGAAAATTTGAATGTAGGGACTATTTAGAGATTTACTTTTTGATTGGATGCATTAAATAGTTGTTTTCCTAGGGTTAGGGCATCTTGAATTTGGCTGAAATTTTAGATCCCTTAGGTTTTTGGTTCGCGCTCTAGCGGCGTCTAGAGATTTGGGAGAGATAGATTCTCCTCTCGAATAGAGGATCAATTGTATCTTGGTATTTTTCGTTTCTATTTCATCAAATAATATAAATATCTATTTCCTAGTTTTGCGTGGATTCTTGCGGAGAATTTTTGCTGTTTTCCAAAAATTGATAAGAAAATTTGAGATCTTCAAGTGTTTCCTATCAAATTGGTATCAGAAAAATTTCTTGAGCTGAAATAGAAGTCTTCCTCACTGAATTTTGCTGCGTTCTATATCCGATCATGTGATTTGTTACTGATTGGAGGCCAGAATTCGCGTCAAACTTGTTTCTCTTTGCTATTGGAGCCTAAAATGGAAGGAAGAAAGATAGAAGTTTTGAAAGGAAAGATTGGACAAATAAAATCTGAAATTTTAGAATTCCAAACTCAAGTTTAGGGTAAGTCACCGACAGCCATGGAAGTGGGGAAAACCCTAAGCCAATCAGACGAAGGGGAGACAAGGAGGTAGAGTTTTCGGAAGGAATAGAAAAAATGCCTCTCCAAGGGCCTATTCCTAAGGAGTCGGGTAGAGGGTATGTGGAGAGGCGTGAGGGGATTGGACATGAGTGGAGGGGTGTGGAATTTGAAAGAAGAGAGGCTGAATTTGAAAGGTGAGGACTTGATTATGATCGAAGAGATGTCGAATTTGAAAGGAGAGGGGTAGAATATGATCAAAGGGATGCTAAATTTGAAGGGAGAAGGTGGGCTGGTGATGAAATATTTGGGTGCCAGCAGAGGAGGAATGATTGGCACAATTGAGGGGAACCCCTTGGGGAATGAAAATTTTTGGAGAAAGTAAGGTTGACGGAGGAGATCTAAGAGTGAGGAAATTGAAGATGCCGATTTTTTAGGGAGAGGATGCACATTGGTGGATTTACAGGGTAGAAAGGTATTTTACTGTCAATAGATTGATGGAGTAGGAGAGACTGACGGCAGCTGGCCTATATTTGGAAGGGAAGGCTTTGGCTTGATACCAGTGGAGAGACATGCGATGACACATATGAAGTTGGTGGGAGTTCAAGGATTGTCTGTTAGAACGATTCCGAACTGATAGGGGATGAGATTTCTACAAACAGTTCTTTGCCTTGACACAAGATGATTCAGTGATAGAGTGTCTGGAGATGTTCGAGTATCTGGCCAGCCGATTGGCCCGCCTTTCTGAGATCGTGCTAGAAGGAAACTTCATGAAGGGACTGAAATCAGAGATCCGGGCGGAAGTTAAAGTGATGAGGCATCGTGACTTGGGAGAGGCTATGGAGCCAGCTCAATTGTTGGAAGATCAGAGGCACCTGGAGAAAGGGACGAAAGACAGCAGATCAGGAGGCACAAATAGGACGACCACCACCGTTTTGGCATCCAGGGAGCCGACACTGAGTACCCTTTGGGAGACCCCAAAGGAGAAGACTGTAGGTGGAAGACCCGGGTATAACTTCAAGAAGCCCGCCAAAATAGAGTTACAAGAGAAGAGAGCAAAGGGGCTTTGTTTCAGATGTGATGAAAGGTAACATATGTAAGGACTGAACTCTTCAAGTTCTCACTGTTTGTGATGATGAGGGAATAGAGAAGTGTGACTTCTTCCCACCTTGCGGACAAGGTGGGTTTTTGGGAGGGGAGTATTGTTAGAACGGTCCATTGAACGTCCAGCCAGTCCATACAGGACCGGCCCGCGCGAACAGAGGCGGAAGATTTCCGCCTCTTCAGCATGCCATTCGAACCACGGGAGCCAACCGAGCATTTTAGGAAGGATTTTTGAGGGAGTTAGGATGAAAATTTGAATGTAGGGATTGTTTAGAGATTTCTTTTTTTATTGTATGCATTAAATAGTTGTTTTCCTAGGGTTAGGGCATCTTGAATTTGGCTGAAATTTGAGATCCCTCAGGTTTTTGGGCTCTAGTGGTAACTAGAGATTTGGGAGATAGATCCTCATCTCGAATAGAGGATCAATTGTATCTTGGTATTTTTCATTTTTATTTCATCAAATAATGCAAATTATCTATTGTTTTCCTGATTTTGTGTGGATTCTTGAGGAGAGTTTTTTCTATTTTCCAAAGATTAATAAGAAATTCTTGAGATCTTCAAGTGTTTCCTATCATAAACCTTTTTGGGAGTATAGAAGTAATCTAGAAAAATATATCATTCATCAGGACATCTATGCAGTGGGGTATAAAAAAGAATTAATGCAAACAAATGTGCTTTTGAAGAGTAGAAAAAAAACTGGTGAAGCTAGCAACACTAGTAAAGCAGCTTAGAAATCTTGTAAAGAGAGCAAAAACCAAAGCAAAAAAGAAGAACATGATGTGCACAAAGAAAGCAAATAATGGGATACAAAAAATAAATAATATAAGTGATAGAAGATTTAGAGACTTTTATCAAGTTAGATATATTAAAATTGATATAAGATGATCATAATTAACGATGAAGACCAAAAGAAAAAAGAAAAATACTACTTTGAACATTTCTTAAATGAGAAATTATAAAAAACTAAATTTTCAAAATGTGTATGATAAATAGAAAATTACTGATCCTTGAAGGTTCTCGTGGCATCTAACCACGTCTGATCACCTATTTTATCTCAGTGATGCACACTAAAAGCTCAAAGTTCAATTATTAATCTCTTAGACAAAAGTATAACAAGTCAAGATACAGGTTGATCTACTATTCGAGAGGTAGATCGGCTCTCCACAAACTGTAGACGCCACTAGGAATAACTCCAAAGAAAAACTACATCAAACACAATCACATAATCCAAATTAAACAACCTAATTAGCCCAATATAAGCCACCCTAATTCTCTCTCAAATCTCAATTCAAAATAGCCCACTTCCCTTAAATAAATCTTTCCTTACACTCTCCCAAATCTCAATTCAAATCAGCCCATTTTCCTTAAATAAATATTTCTTGATTCCCTCCTAAATCTGAATTAAAATCAGCCCCCGAACCCCCCCCCCCCTCCTTAAATAAACTTTCCTAATTCCCTCCCAATTTTGATTTCCTACAGTAAGTAATTAAAGGTGAATTTATTCCCTTTTGGATCCCCCTCTTTCCCCGCCAGCCATCCCTGCTAGTGGGGCCCACATGCTCTGCCAGTAAATAAATCTTTCCTTATACCCTCCCAAATCTCAATTCAAATCAGCCCATTTTACTTAAATAAATATTTCTTGATTCCCTCCTAAATCTGAATTAAAATCAGCCCCCGAAACCCCCCCCCCCCCCCTCCTTAAATAAACTTTCCTAATTCCCTCCCAATTTTGATTTCCTACAGTAAGTAATTAAAGGTGAATTTATTCCCTTTTGGATCCCCCTCTTTCCCCGCCAGCCATCCCTGCTAGTGGGGCCCACATGCTCTGTCGGTCCATTAGAGTGCAGTAACCATATCCCCAAGTAATCATATCAAAATACCATCCATGGCACATTTTATACATAGGCCAATTTAAAAGCAAACAATTTAACAGCTATATACCTTATTAACCATCTCACCAGAACAGGAAAGAATTTGGATTCTTATAATGACCAATATCATAAAAAAAAAAAACATTATTTATATTTATGCATCCCACATAAAGATATGAAGATGATATTAATCTAAACACTGAAAGATCAAAGTTAAATATATGAAGAATATTTCTTCAAAATACAAGAAAAACATTTACTTGCTACAATGAATATTTAAATGCACAAAAAAATACTAACAATGAGCATCAAAATGATAATTTCAGATGAAGAACTCACACTGCGAGGACTGCTATTCACAATGTCAACTGCTTGTTGATTGCTAAGGTGCTCCCATAGTCCATCAGATGCAAAAATAAGAAACTGGTCCAGTGGCTGAAGTGGATGTACTGAAATTGATGGCTCAGAACTAAGTATCGGTTTTTTGAAAGGTTCACGAAGGCGAAATTTTGCATACAGGGGCTCACGATTATACTCAGCTTTCTTGAGATATGTATCACCAATTGACCTGGATACCTGCAAATAGAAGGCAAGGTATATTTACTTAGGCAGCTATGTGGAAAATCAAAGAACGGTTATCAGCTGTCAGGGATGAAACAGACTGCATATACAATTTTGTTCTGACAAAGGATACACACATATGCCCTCATTCACACGCATGTTCACATATGACTGCGAACACGATCACACACAAATTAGAGAATAGAGATGAACGAATCAGACAAATAGTGAAATTATCCAATTTGTTTTGAAAATATATTTAAAATATCATTTGTGGCTAATTTCATATAGACATGTATATTTGTTAATTTAGTGAACAAAAACTCAAAAGTTAAAGCTTGCATGAATTGGCATTTGGGAGGGAACCATCATTTTGGTAGCTCATTTTATTGCATGACATTCCTGGATCATTTAAAAAGTATTTAAGAGGCGTGACATATCAACAAACTCAAACTAATCATAAGTCAGCTTAATTCAATTGATATCAACTTTGATAATGAAGTTTATTTTTCGAGTTTATTGTCATCACTTCTCCCCCTATGATCGTGATTGGTGGCCAATAATTCCTCTGGTTCAATGAAGTTGAAACTCAACAATATCTGACACTTACATATAAAGACGAGAATCAGGTGAGGCACTTATTTTGCTTGAAACATTAAAAAAGTTACCAGAAGGCATCACAAAAATCAAAAGAAAGTCCAATTTAAAGTCCATAATAAGGTTTAAAAGGGTCATATTGCGAATGGAGACATTTTGTCTTATAGGGGCGAGGTGTAAGGCTTGAACTAAAAAAAAAACTCATAAAATTAAAAATTATTCATATATATGTCATAAACCATCAATAAGTGTTTAAAAGAAATTAAAAAACCTAAACTCTAAAGAAAACAAAAGCAAACTAATTAAAATAAAAGGGAAATTAAGTTAAAATGATATTAAAAATAGTTAAAAATGGAAATATAATAATTGAAAGAAAATAAATATGTCAAATTAAGAAAAAAATCAAAAATAGTTAAAAGTTAAAAAAAAGGAGCTCAAGAGAAACAAAAATTAACTAATTAAATAAAAAAGAAAAGAATTTTTAGTTTTAAGGAAAACACTAAAATTTTGAAGGGAAAAAAAACCCAAAAACTTAAACTTCTATCTCCAAATTGGTCCAAACTCTAAACCAAAAAAATTCTTCTCTTATACATAACTTAAAACTTTTATTTTTAAGTAAAAGTTAATTTGAGGCGCTTGCCTGTAAATGAAAAGGTATAATCCTTGCTTAGACCAAGAAATCATAAGCCTCTAAGCGCTTAGTAAGCAACCCATGATGAGGCACACCTCAAGGCAGAAGCCTCGAACGACTTTTTAACCAAGGGTTCATAGCAATGCAAGCTAGCAATGTGTAATAGTTAGGCAAGTAAAAAGAGATTTTGCACAAAAGATAAGGTTGGCAAAATTCAAATTAAAAAGAGGATTCCATGTATGCTACCACGAAAGAGATTTAAGATATGTTAATCCTCAGTGAAGCTAGTATCATGGAGCCATGGATCCTAGACTCACATGTGTTAGACTGGTCCAATTTGAATCAGGGGATTCAATTAAATATTGATTTGGGAGGGAACAACCCAATTAAATATTGCTTTGAGAGGGACTCAATTAAATAATGCTTTGGGAGGGAACAACTCAATTAAACATTGCTTTGAGAGGAAACAATTCAATTAAATATTGCTTTTTGAGGGCAAATTTGAATTAGGGGCCGTTTAGGGATTTTGTAATCTTCTTTGTTTTAAATAGTTTATCTTGTAAGGGTTAGGGTTTCATCTTGAATTTGATTGAATTTTGAGATCTCTTAGCTTTAGGTTTTTTTTTTGCTCTGCGGCGTCTAGAGATTTGGGAGAGATAGATCCTCCTCTCGAATAGAGGATCAATTGTATCTTGTTTTATTTCTCTAGTTAGTTTGATTTCTTCAATAAAAATTACTGTTTTGTTAATTTTCCCATGGGATTTGAGGAGTATTTTGCTGTTTTTCGTCTCTATTGATAGGTTTTACTTGAAATCTTCAAGTCTTTCCTATCAAATTGGTATTAGAGCACTTTCATGGGGGAAAAATAAAATATCTTGGCTGTTTTGCAATTGGAGCCTAGATCCAATTAAAGAAAACAAAGAAGATGATTTGAATTAGGGGCTATTTAGGAATTTTGTAATCTTCTTTGCTTTAAATAGTTTCTCTTGTAAGTGTGACTGAAATTTGAGATCTCTTAGGGTTTAGTTTTTTTGGGCTCTAGCGGCGTCTAGAGATTTGGGAGAGATAGATCCTCCTCTCGAATAGAGGATCAATTGTATCTAGCTTTATTTATTCCGTTAGTTTGATTTCTTCTATAAAAATTACTGTTTTGTTCATTTTCCGTGGGATTTGTGGAGCATTTTGCTATTTTTCGTCTCTATTGATATGTTTTACTTGAAATCTTCACGTGTTTCCTATCAAAATGCTTCTTTTCACTCTACTGCATATAAGGAGCTTAAGACTAATTATTTTATAAGAAGACAGATAATCCCATAAGCCTTGTAGGAATAGTGCTGTTCAAACCAAACTGCCAACGGGACTAAATGGAAGCTTTAAAAAATAAGATAAATTATAAGCATGAAAAGGAATATGATTTCAATTGGACATCTTAATAAAAAAGTATGCAACTTAATCTTCAGTAACTAAAACCTAAAGGTTACAATGGGTGTTTTGGTGATAGCACATGGCAACAAAAAAGACATTCTATAAGACCTATAGCACTGGATTGAAACATACAAGTGAGGAAGGGATGGACTCTACACTTAAGGTAAGCTGCCACATTTTTTTAGTATTGATTCTTATAAGGACCGAATTTTTTTATAGCAAAGAAAGGCCAATTTTCAAGGGATATAAGAGAACAAAAACTCATAAGTTGGCGCTTGTATACATTGAAAGTTGGGAACCATTTTTGTGATCACTGTACTATGTCACCTTGACAATTCTAATAATAGCATGAAACAAGCCTCCGGAAGTAAAGAAATTAAACTTTGAAGAGTTTTCTGACAATGAAGCGCAAGGCAGGTGACTCCAGAGAATGTTGACCCACAATCAAAAGTCAAGTATGCTTATGATGTAGTTGAAAAGATATCTAAGAATATTTAAGCTTAATCATAGTTATTTTCCTACCTCAACATTATTTATAACCAATTAATGCATGTTAACCCAAGTGTTTTAAAGAAGCAATGCAAGTTAAAAGCTCTATCAAGGGATCGATGGAAATGATAGAAGAGATTGACTCCTCGTAGATAATAACAATTGAAAATTAATGAAGTTGTAAAGGATAAGAGACCATTGAAAAAAAAAAATAGCTTTCTGGGGTAAGGAAAAACTTAATGGCAATAAAAGGTACAAAGCCAGGCTGGAGGTAAAATATATCAGCAAATTAACTTAACTCTGCTAATATTTTTTCTCATATTACTAAACTAACTACTACAATTAAAAATGCATGAGCACTTGGTACTAGGACTATAAAATTGAAGATTTGCTCTAATAGTTAATAAATAAGTCCCAGTTTAATAGCCATTTTAATTATTTTAATAAATAAATTAATTTAAGCTTTCCAACTTTTGTTGGGGCATTGTCTTCTTAACTACTATAATGATAAGAGAGAACAATATTATATAAAAGTGTTTTAATGGATTCTATGCATCTAAAATATATCTAAAGTAATTATCAAATAAAAAATAATAAAGATGTGAAAAGATTCTTATTTGATGTGAAAAGATTCTTATTTGATGCAATATTAAACATGCAGCAATTATCATGTTTTACGAAATTAAAAAATTTTATTAAAAAAAACACTTATTTTGTGAGAAGTTTGAAAAGAAAATAAAAAATAAATTCATTTGAACAAAAAATAATCATATAAATTTCAAAATAAAAAATAAAAAATATTTGAAAAAAAAAAGAAAACAAAATTATAATTATTAGTTATTTTATACATAATTAAAAATTATGTAAATCATATTATCTGAATAAAATTATAAATAAACGGTAATGATATTTGCAAGGAAAATTTTAAATCCCCTTTTTAGTACTAATAATGTGCATGAACACTAAATACATACTGATTAATTTTATTATGAGAAAATGATCAAAATGATCCCTTGACTCTTTATGAAGAATCAAAATTGTCTCCAACTACATGCTGACAAAGGAGATTAAAGTAAATAAATTAAGGCTTTTCAAAGCCGAAGTAATATTCATAGAAAATTGAGAGAAGGTGCCAAACAGAGTTAATTTAAAGGTGATATATCAACATTTTGGTCTTTAATTGGAAGCTATGAATTCTGTAGAGCCTCCATTTTGCTCCACAAGATAATGACATAATACAAAACAAATGATTGTACTGATAAATACAAACATAAACGAATTATCTTACGTTATTGTACAAAAATAAGTTCAAAATTTTGTGACAAATATTATTACTGTATATTAGGTTCAAATCAAAATCTAATACAATTTCAAATTGATATTTCACCAAATTAATAGAGTCATGAAAAAATAATAATAAAAGGTCTTGATTGTGCAATAAGAAGGGAAATAAGCGTAGGGGTACATGATATTAAGAAAATTAAGAATGTGAGAAAAAGTGATAAAAGGTAGAAAATAGGAGAATTAAAAAGAGAAATAACTAAAAAGTGTGGTGAGAGATGGAGAAATGAAGAGGAAAAAATTACTCAACTCTTACGTTTGCGGTTGTCATGAACTATCTCAACATGAGCAAGCATAATAGTGTTGTTGAATCATGGTGGTTTTGTAGAAAAGCATGATAGTGCCTGAAAAGTGTTGTGGTGCCAGAGGTTATATTGCTTTGTCGTGTGGTCCTTTATTATTCCACTCTCAACATTGTTGCAGTGATTGAGGTAATATTGTAGTGCTAGAGGCAAGCTTGGTGGTGCTTAAAAACCTACTAATGTTTTGATAGGTAATCTAATTTAAGGTTTTTGATATCTACTACTCATGTATATTGTTTTGTCGTGTGGTCCTTTATTATTCCTCTCTCAACATTTATACAACTTTATGGAAGAGATAATTAAATTACATCCGCCTCAACAATAGTGGAACATTTTGTATGTACAGCTGTATAAACAAGTCAATTTCACTGAAACATGCAACTTTGTGTCTTTTGAGTTGAGTCTTTCATACATTTTATCAACTTTGTTTTTGTTCTCGTAATTAATTTTCCAAAAGAATAAATAGATACAGCTCCATAATAATGGTAGACCACTCTAACTTAACTCATAACATTAAGCCATTCCTTAAAATATTTCAGAAAGATTGAGGCACGAATACTTCAAAAACTCTTGTGTGTCTATACTGAACAAAAGCATGCTTCTAACACATTTAAAATCATATATGATTCCCCCCACCCCCAATCTATATATATAGTGATCTACTTCATGGTTAACTTTCTCTTTTAATGAATTCATGATAACAAAGTCTTCGCATTAGAAATTACACCAAACGTAATATTGTAGTAATCACAATCTAAATTTCCAAATACTTAATAATCCAAATTAGAAAACAAAAAATGGATGAAATAGCTGAAGGAGGAATTGAGAAAAGTTAATGTCATGCAAAGCTTTATAGATTTAGTATCACTCAATAGATTAATTGGGTACACTTATGAATAAAGAGTTTCGCGAGAAGTACTCCAATTGCAATAAGCGATGGCATAATCTTTTTCATATCAAAGTAAGGTATAGGAGTCCCTAGGAAATAAGGGAAATGTTTCAAAGTACAAATCAATCTTGCTTCCTGGGAATCTAACAAAACATTACATTAAACCAAAATTAGGTGAGAAGGATCAGAATATTTATACATAGAACGTTTTCAGAAAGAAGAGAATAGCTACATGAAAGCTATTGTGCTATAATAGACAAGCTAGAATAATTCTTCATTTAATAACCTACTAACCTGAGATGCACTAAGGAAAAGCTTTCTAAGAAAAGCATTTAACTCTTGTATACTTTGCGATAAAAAAACTAGAATAATTTGTCACTAAACATGGGACACACTAAGCCAAGCAGTTATGAGAAAAGCAATTATTGGGACATCTAATAAAGCTGAACAATGTCTTCATCCAACATCTTCATAGTTTTCAACATGCAATTGCACAAAAAAGATACTAAATAGAACTTGTAAAAGAAATGACAAAAAAAATGGCTGTTGGATGATGCATATTAAGCACATAATATGTTTGTGTGCCATGCACCACAACTCTAAATGTAATACGGTTGAATCTAAAGAAAGCAATAACTTAAAGGCGGTAAATCTTTCACTAGAACTAACCCTAGAGATATCATATATAGTTATATTTTAGCAATTTAACATCTGTGGGTCATAGCACATTTAAGTTATCAACTATAGCTATGGAAAACGAGTCATAGCAATGCTCAACTAATACAAGGACCTCGCATATTAGCATTAATGCATGAATGTTCAAATATCTTATAAAGATTTATTCCTGTAGCATTAATGAGTACTCACTTTTTAAATCAGTTTATCAAGTACATATGTTGGGACTTTTATTATCAAAGAAAGTGTTGTAGATTTGCCAAAAACCTCCGCAAAAAGTCAGCTGATGAGAAACAACAGGGTAGTTCTAAAAATAAGGTTAAGTACAAAATAACCAGATATGCTGCTTCATAAACCATTGAAGAACAAAATTCAAACCATTACTTTCCTAGTACTTGCATAACTAAATGGAAACTACAAGATAAGCATATTCAGAGAAGACTTGAGTGCATAACTCTCACTTCTCTAAAAAATACACGGGCCTTCAAGGAAATGATATTTGCTTTCTGAAGAAATTAATTCATGATAACAATAATCTTGCAGCAAAATAATACCTGGATAAGGCCCTTAACACGCCAAACATTATGCTTCAGGACAACAATTTGTGAGTCCTCAGGGTGCAGTGCACGTAGCTCTTGTCTAACAGACTCGATACTTGCATTATGCTCCGCCGACAACTGGACTGCCAAAACCTCTCCAGTTGCCTTGACTAACCTTCCCATAACAACACGAGAGTCTCCAACATTAGCAACATACAGGGTTCCACTGCAAATGATGCCAACAAGACAACAAGATCCAACAGCAGCAATCTGAGGTTTTACAGGCCATTGTTTGGCAACTAAAGAAAGGAATCCTTCCTCTGTTGCTTGATATGCCTTACGAATCACTTCAGGTGATACTGAATGCTGTTCTGAAGCAAATCCTGCCAAGTTTATGCTATTAAAGTTGATTTTATAAAGAATCTTCAAAACAAAGCTCAAAATCATAAAACAACAATAGCTAGGCAACGGCAAAAGCCATCATAACAAGGAAAGAAATTAATGCATCAAATTCAAGCGAAATCCAAAAAGGACAAGGAATAGAGTTGCAACCATAATGAAAATTGAAGTACGGCAAGAAGACTATGTAAAGTAGATTGAATGACTTCTCTGCAACCAGTGCAGCTCAGCAAGCAATCCCATCTACAATACACCTTTCCATAGTCATAACAAATTTAACCAAATCATAAACTAGTGAATTCCGGATTCAACTGAAATGACCTAAACAATTAAAGAAGGAGGAAAACTCATAATTAACAAAAAAGGCTTCACTATTCCAAGAAAAAAAGTAAGTGCTGAGAGAGAGCAGTAAAATACAAACATAACAGATGTCTTCAGCTTCAAGACGTACTCTTTAGATGTTGAAACAGATGATCGGTGATGTATCTTGATGTCTCCGGACCACCATGCCCATCATAGACTCCCACGAAAGTTCCATAGGGACCAGAGTCCAGGGAAGACAAGGGGCCAGATTCTATCTGGCTTTGGTCCTCTAGCAAGTTGTTGGCCTGGACCACGGCCATGGAGAATTCCCCATTCACATGCTGCCCCAAGTCCTTGTACCAGAGAAGCCCTTCCTGCCTGCCAACCGCATCAGACCCAGCGTGGACATAGCGGCAATCAGAAGATGGCCGCCAGCAGGCCCTCAGGTAGTTCATCAACACAGCTAGCATCCCTCATCGCAACCAGGCACACGTCTCCGAGCCCTCAACATCTATACTCTCCACGAGTAATGATAACAGAGGGATGTAATGCAAAAGCCCAAGATACCTCCAACTTCTCTGGCATAGGTCAAATAATCCGAAAACATAATGAATAACATGAGAAAACAACAATCAAAACTTAAATTACCCTTCCCCCGGTCAATATTAAAAGCAAAAAAAACAAACAAACTACACTAACCGTAAAATTAGACCCATTAACAGATCTTAGGGTTTTTCAAACCAAAACATAGTAGATCAGCATTTGTCGATTACCTGCTACTCAATTCCAAGTAATGAAGAAGATAAAACCACAGGGATTACTTCTCAGGTTGTTCCTTGAAATATCCTTTGCCGCCCCGCTTCAATCAGACGTAATCAAGCCCACATGTCAAAGCCCAAGCTCCAGGCAAACAAAAAAAAAACCTAAAAAGCACATCAATCGGGAAACCGCCGACGAGCATCGACCTTCCCACTCTACTCAGAACCCCACCTGCTCGTCAATTTTCATGTATACAAAGACATCAGCATCGAAACAGAAACAAAACCCACCGAACCCCTCTAGTCCCACTCGAGACCTGAAGACCGCACCTCTACAGCAGATCTTCCACCTATGAAAGTAAATCTACCCTTACCAGCAGGAGGCCGCGGCGATACAGTCAGATCCGTAGGTGAATGGTGCCGTTGGAAATCGCCGGAGAGGATTTTGGACAATGGAGCGGACCACTGAGCTAACTCGCTCTCTCTCTCCCTTTCTCCCTCTTTCTCTCTCTGGCTTCTCTTTTGTAGTAGACCACTCATACAAACCACGAGGATAGCTGAGGCCAGCGAGCCAGCAGAGCAGCTATGGCTGCTATGGGCTCCACCTATGAAGAGAAAGTGTTTTTTATTTTATTTTATTTTATTTTATTTCCTTTTCTTGGGATGCAGGCCGGCGAAGGAAACTCGAAACATCTTCAAGGGTATTTCGGGAACATTGCTTATATCAATTTTAATTATCATTAATTACAATTAAGCCTAAACAGCTCTTCCAACACGAATTCAACCCAAATAATCTTCGGATTAAATCAAAACTTGTTTCAAATTATGATCTATGCAAGACCTGAAATGGGTCAGGCCATTGGATTAGGATCTGTTTAACCCGAATGCCCATGATTTTGTTTATATTGGATAAGCACTATGGACGGATGAGGTATTTAGTTGATGATAGTGTCCAATAGGAACTGCTAATGACCCGTGCCTGCCGCTACCATCAAGATATACATAAGCAATAGACACTCACCGACTGGTCATAGTCATCATCACTATTAACATCAATGATGTCGTCCGGTGCCAACACTAATATCAATGCACATCTTTACCAACAAGATAGACGTCCATCATCGAAATTAATATGGACGCTCGTCACTATCACCAAGGTTGTAGAAATTATTCTATGCGGACACTGAATACAGTTCACCGTTCGGAGACCAACCAGAATGCACCACGCAGCAATATCGAGCACGATACTGAGCGAGTGTGACGTGGTGCATTCTGGTTGGTCTCTGGACGGCATTCGCGTCCACACAGAATAATTTGCCTCAAGGTTGACACTCTTCGTCACCCTAATAATGACATCTACCCCACTGCTCATTGACATTTATTGTGTCTATCATGATTATTGTTCGTCTTTTGGGTGACTGGTCTCCTCTTTGTAAGGAGAACAATATAGCAAACCATCAATGCCTTAGATCATCTCCAACTAAACTGCATATTATCGTATGTCGTCCACGAAAAGTTGCATTCGAGCTCCAAATCTCAAGCAAAAAATCAATAGGTGAACTGTGTGACACTAATATTAGTGTCGGACTGTTCACCTACGCAAAAAAAAAAAACTATTACATTCGCACTCTGCTTATCTTCGCAGGAAGCACGCGAAACAAGAGATAGATAGTTACCTTCACAAAGAAGCGCGTGAAAAAAAAAAAGAAAGAAAAATGGAGTTTCATTGGATATGAATTGCCGCATTTTGAAGTTTTACGACATTTTAGAGTGGAAAATAGGGGGTTTTCGGTTGGAGATGCCCTTGAAGGCTCCACTTGGCTTCATTTAGGACAACTTTCTTACTGCATTATGAAGCAGTTTCTTAGCACAATTTTTTTTTGAAGCTGAACGTACTAAAAAACTACTTTATAAAGCAATAAGAAAGCTATCCTAAAAAAAAAATCATAACTCTTTATTAAACTCATATGGATGACTAATTATCTATGTTCCTACCAACAAATAGCCTTAATTATTTTCTTAAAATGTCAACAATTATTCGTTCATCAACTTGAAAACTTTATATCCTACATAATATCTAATATTGTACACATTAATAAATGCGAAACCAATCACATTGTCTTCTAAATACTCTGTTTTCCTATTTATAAAATTTTTTATATACCTAAAAATATTTACAAATGAAAAATTTCTTCCCTCTCTGTATTATATAAATAATTCTTATATCTTTGACCATTAATATGACAACCAGCCATACATTGAGCACATTGTCTTATAAAATATTTTCATAAATTTATAAACTTATGTATGCCATCACAAAAAATCTTATTTCATTATGGGGTTATTTAATTTGATGAAAAAGAAAAAGAAATTAAAATAAAATATTATGTGAATAAAATGAATGCAGTGTATTTAAAATGTTTAGAGTTAATTAATGGATATAAAATAAATATGGGTGATTAATTTTTTTTTTTTTAATTTGGTTTGAAGTAAAATAATTGTAATATAAATTCCAATGATGGTGGTGATAGGTTGTGGCGAAGATGACGACAGAGGTGGTGGTGGCAACCGACAACTGGGGGAAGTAGCTGGCAGTGATCGGTGGGCATCAGCAGCAACTTGTAGTGACAATGATAGAATATTTAGTGTAATTGAAAATATACTATATATATATATATTAATATTCAAATTCATCAAAATTAAATTAGAAGATAATTTCAAATACATCAAAAACTTACTATATATTTCTTTTACTTCAAATCAAACATTAATATTTTCAAAATTCATATGTTAGAAATACTTTACACTAATTTTTTCCTTAAACTAAACATCTCATATATACTACAATTGTTATTGCCCTCATACATTTCTATAAAAAATTACCTTTGATACATTACCAAAAATTGCCTTGATCTAGCGCGAATCTTAATGCACATATAAATTTGAAACATCCAAATTTTGATTTCAACAAACTTATAGTTAAATTGAACATCTCAATGAAAAAAAAACTCGAAGACACTAAAATTAGTCCAATCCGAACCCAAATGGGCCCAAATTAAGGGATCAAAACATATTTTAAAGTTTCAGAATATTAATAAGATAACTAAATAATATCCAAATTGTCCATACTTACATTTGAATCGAGCGACTCGACGAGACGAATCCAATGAGCCCAAGAACACATAATTCTAACATCACTAAGGCACGTACTTAAATGTTGAACATACAATTTATGATCAAGAGAATCACTATGAGCCATCCGATGGAGCACTCCAAATTTGTCTTAAATCTTCTTTATATTTATTGAGCGTGTCACTCTCAAAATCTATAAATAGACCCTCATACTCTATATGAGGGGGACCTTTTAGGGCTTGGAGCTTGGAGCTTGGGCTAGTTATCAAGCAATCTCTGAGGCTTGAAGACTCCCACACTGACAAAATTGACAATGAACCTTCTTTGCCCGACCACCCATGTTAAACATTCTCTCGACCATCGTCGTAGAACCTCCACCTGACCGACACCATAAGATCCCTACTCAACCTTCATCTCCCACCAATCACGGTCCCTCATACTACTATCACAAGACAATAGTCTCTCCGACATCCGTCTCCCGCCGAGTATGATCCCTCAGACCACCATCACTTGCCGACTATGGTCCATTCGAGATCAGCTACTCTTCGATTATGGTCCCTCTGACCTTCGTCACCCAACTATGATCTCTTTATCCACAGTTGCCCACCAATTAAAGCCCTCTAACCTATGAACTTGACAACGCTCCCCTTAACACCAATCATCCAACTATGATCCCTTTGACCTCTACGTCCCCTCGACTTTCGTTGCTTGACAATGTTCCCTCCAACCTCTATCCCCTCGACAACGCTCCCTTTGACTTCAGTCACTCCATAACATTCCCTTCGACCTCCGTCGTGTGACTACGGTCTCTTTGACTCTCATCGTACAACAATGATCCCCTTGAACTCTGTTCCCCAACGACTATGGTTCTTTCAACATTTATTGCTCGACAAAGGTCCCTCCGACCTCTATCTCTCAAATGCGGTTCCTCCGACTTTCGTCGTCAGCCAACTACGGTCCTTCTAGCCTCCATCAGTCACCGACTATAATTCTTCATACCTCAGTCGTTCGATTATGGTCCCTAGCCTATATAGCACGACTACGATCCTATTGACCAAATAAACATGCCAACATTATCTTAAGAATAACTTTCATGTCATTGAATTCATCCAACTCCAACCATGTAATATGCTTTACATGATTTATATCACCTACATTGAGCCAACGCCTCCCCACAAGGAAGGATATTATTTGTGATCAATAGTCAATACTAGTATAATCATTTCAACTGAGCCAAGTCTCATGATTTTTTTTCCTTTTTTAGTATTTTTTCACATAAAAAATCTAGTGTCTCTTATGTCCCTTATACCCCACTCTCTTATATGCGTGTATGTTGAATCTTCGTATAAAATTAATACATTAAACATTATATCTCTCTATCGACACGAATGTTCCGGCATGCAACAACCTCATATAATCTTCAACAATTATCCTCATTTCCAATCACTTCTCCATTGTTTAAATTATAGTCAAAGCCAATTCCTTCAACAAATTATAGAAATATCTCAACTGAACTATAAAGGAATTGAACGTAGGCCTCGTTTGGGACGGCTTTCTTATTGTTTCTTAAAGCAAATTTTTAGTATAAAAAATTATTTTTTTTTCTAAAAAAATACTTTAAGAAGCAACAAAAAAGCCTCCCAAGCTTTATTTGTAGCTCCTTCAAGTCTATAGAAATAATACATGTCCATGCCATTTCATCAAATTTATTGTTTCTATAATATCTACATTTATAAGCTCAACCACCATAAGCTTAATAACTACTTATTAATATTATCTGACAATACATTTTCTCCCATCATCTCCGATCCATCACGTCCAATAAAAAGTGTGTATCTAACAACATATGTGCTGTTATTTCCATCCACCGATTTTACAAGTATTTTGTAAAATAATATGAAAGTTGTCCCTTAGATTTCATTTGAAATAAATTTCTTACTATTTTTTAAAATAAATTTTTAGTATAATTTTTTATATTAAAAACTTTCTTTAGAAAGCAGTAAAAAATGTATCATAATTCATAAATGAATCCTAAGGCTATATTTGGGACAATTTTTTTTTATGAGTTATAAAATAATTTTTAGGAAGATTTATATACATACCACCTTATACTATTCTATTTACATATTTAACACTTAAAACTTTAATATTATATACATACCACTTATAGTTCATTTTCATATCAAATATGAGTGATAGAAATGAAATATATGAGTGATATGAAAGAAATATAAGTGGTATATTTGATATTAAAAATAATATATGATGATAAGCATGTAATATTAAAATTTTGGGTATTAGATATGTAAATATGATGTTATAAAGTTGTATGTATGTAAATTTCCCTAACATTTTAATATTAAAATTTATAATTAAAAAAAA